AATCGCCTATGGTCGTTTTTTCAATGCTAATGCGGTATTTGCGATAGAATAAAAGCTCGTGATTTTGTTGAACACACTAGATTAGAACAAAGTACACTCTAGTTTGAAATAGTTGRAAAGACCTATCCGGTATCAGTATCTTCYATATCCTAGCAAGGACGCGGCCTTCGCGAAAGCATAATCTTTATCCGGCGAGGCAAATCGCATCGCGTTTACGGTACGTCACGTTACGTTACGCTGAATCCTTATGCTTCCGCAAATTTGTCGTACAAAATCTTTCGGAGCTCCATCGTGTTTTGGGTGAAGGCCTCGATGCCTTCCTCGAGCTTTGCGGTGGCACAGGCCTCGGACTCCATGTAGGCCTTGTAGGTGGCTTCGTCGAGTTTGTAGTCGGGATCGCAGCAGACCGCCGCACTCGTTTCGGGGTCGCACTGTCTGGTAACAGAGTCGCCATCCACCACCATCAGAGATTCCAGGAACGCGGGGGGAATGGTCATCTCGTCAACTCCCGCCAGGGCAAGGATTTCGTCAATGTCGCTCCCCTCGACGTCCGCACCCCGAGAAGGTCGCCACGATGCGGGCATGCAGATGGTTTTGTATCCGTAGTGTTTGAAGTAGGAATAAATTCTCTTGATYACCAAAACTCCCGGATCGGCGGTGGGATGGAAGCTCCCGTTGCTGTTGGCGTTTGCCCCCTTGGATTTGTGCCAGTCAAGAATTCTTCCGGGAAAGGGCGACACCAGGTACGCGTTGGCCTGGGCAGCCGCTGCTGCTTGCAAGAACGAGAAGATCAGCGTAATGTTGCACTGGATGCCTTCCTTTTCTAGAATCTTGGCCGCCTGGATGCCCTCCCATGTTCCGGCAAGCTTGATGAGAATCCGGTCACTGGGAATGCCCATCTCTTTGTACATTTTGATAATGTTTCGGGCGCGCTCGACGGAGGCCTCCGTGTCGTAGCTCAACCGGATGTCGACCTCGGTCGACACGCGGCCCGTCACCAGTGTGGACAATTTGGCGCCGAGATTYACCGAAAGCTTGTCCATGGCGAGGTTGACCTCCGGTTCAAAGTCGGGCATGGTGGAGTCTCCGCCACCCATCTGCTTTTTGGCGTACATGATGGCATCGGACACCATKTCTTCGTATCTCTTGTCCCCGTTGGCACCCGCTTGGCTTACGAAGAGTGGATTGGTCGTGGCATCGGTCACGAGGCCGGTGGCGGCGTATTTTTCCACGACGTCCAAATCGCCGCTGTCGATCGATATTGTGGTCATTTTGGACAACTCCTCGAGCCCCGTGGTGGTTGCCGACAACGAAAGAAGGTCCGCGGTGCTCCTGGGAGCAACGGCGAAAGCCCTGCAGCCGTTTGCCAACAAGGAGAATAGAGCAGTGGTAACGAGTGGGGAGCCCTGGCCGATCATGACTTGGKATTGTATACAGTAATAGTATTGCTATCTTRTTTCTGCTGAAATATGCATCAACAAATTTTGGAAATGATGTTTTTAGGTTGTGAATTGACAGATGATCATGATCCGCTTTCTTCGCATGACTGCGTCGGATTGACACGAAAGATTTCCTCGAAAAGTGAGCCCGATCCGATGCGGAGAACAGTTCAACACTTGAGAAAGTAAGGAGTGAGAACCCTGTTTTTAGAAACAAAAAGTCATGACGTTCCCGTAGCTAGTACGTAAGTACGGTCAGAGGTCATAATTTAGACCCCTGAGTACGGTACCGTACCTGGTACCGGTTGAATGAAAAAATGATCGACGTACGGACTACGGACGCACGATGGGACTCCTATGGGAAGCATGAAGCATGTCCAATGTCCATAGTCTTAGTATGCTCATATATGCTCATAAGGTACGAGTACATACTTTCGATGAGGGCCTTGGCCTTCACGATGATCTTTTCAGGACGACAGGACCGACAAAACGACGATAGCAACAAACATTAACTGCGACTACGAGTAACAGAGATGGAATAAGGTAGAGCACGGCAGGCACGAGCACACTTCAAGCAAGATTTGATTCAGACCCAAAATAAAGTCAATCAACCGKGAAAAACAGGCATGTCGGAAGTTGCAGCTCCGCCCGGTGCCACTGCCTCCGCCGCCGCGGCCGGGAATTCCAAACTCAATCCGGATTCCGGGGCTTCGTCSTCCGGTSCTTCGTCGGCGGCCGCCCTGAGCGAGGACAACCTGCAGAAGGAACTYAAGTCCGCCCTCGAGACACTGGACAACCGCAAGCTGAATCCGACCTACAAAAAGATGCTGGAGCGAAATCCTCTTACCCGCAGGGCGGCGACGATCCCCAAGAACAAGTTTTACGAACGAATCGGATCGAGGCTTCGAGAACGCGTCGAGGTGTACACAAGGGAAATGCARGGAAAAGACCCATTCGATCGCATCAGCCAGGTAAGTACATTTCAGGCTCGACTCGTGAATCGGTGTGGACACCGAACCCACTCGAATGCGCGATTTGGTCGCTCCATCGACTCCACCCGACTCATTCCTTTCTGTGGCCATGTGGTTTTGTTCTGTTCTGTTCTGTTCTGTTCTGTTTTGTTTTGTTTTGTTTTGTGTCTCGAATCGAACAGCGCAAGCCCCTGGACGAGGCCGGCATGAGGGCGGCGTTTACCCTTCGTGAGGCAAAGAAGCACGAGCAGGAGCCATTCCTGGAGGCGACCCTGGCCGCCATGGCGATGCACCCCGAGCGGAAGCGGAGCCTGGACGGGATGGCGCTSGGCCTCCAGCAGCGGAACAAAAAGAAGATTCGTGCGCCCAATTCGCTGGTCTTTGGTTCCTCTGCCGCGGCACAGATCCAGATGGCAAGGGAAAACACCGTGCTGGAAGATCAGAAACTGCAGGCGAGGCAATTGGAGGAGGCCCGGATCCAGCGGGAGCGGGAAGAACGGAGGAAACGAATGGAGGAGATTGAACAAAACAAGAGAACCAACAGCGGCGAGGGGGGTAGCAACAGTAATCTCCAAAAGGTTTTTAATAAATACTGGGACATGGAATTCCCGAACCTTGGAAACATGAATCCCTTTCGGATCGTCATCGACCGAAAATCGGCGCCGCAGATTGCCCCGACCTACTTTGACGTGATCACGACCCCGATGAACCTTACCTACATCCGAGACAAGGTGAAGGGCGGGAAGTATCTCACCTACCAGCAATTCTTCGCCGATATTGACCTCATGATCGACAACGCGCTCAAGTTCAACCAGGGAGAAGACAATCCCTACCGAATCGCTGCCGAGGACCTCAAGAAAAAGCACGCAAAGATTGCAAAGAGGGTTTGGAAGTACCACGAACAAAACAAGTCATAGATTGCCACAGCATGGTCCCATGTGACTTCGTCCTTCGATACACGCCACCCACCAAACAAGAAATACACACACTATGCAGACAAGTGTGGGCTCTAGAAACTTAAAACGTCTCTGTGCAGAGATTCCGACTCGAGGGACTAAGAATAGCGAATAACATCCATAAAAGCGCCTGCAATTAAAACTAGCAATTAGAACACCWGGTATGAATAGCAGTATTGTGTTGTTTGTTACGGTACTAAAACAGATTGCTCTGTAACGTCCGAACCAACCACTATCAAACTATCGGCAAATCGTTCTCCCACTGGCCATCGTGTCGTACCGACCCATCCGGGCGGGTTTCTATCCCGTACCCGTGTGCCTTTCCATCAACCCATTCTCCTTTGTAGGTCCGACCATCTGGCCGCCGGTACTGTTTTGGGCAACATGTTCGGCAACAACAATTATTTGAAAACGATCAAGGCGTTGGCAAACAAGGGTGAGTCGAGTGACGTCCTGGCACTGAATATTTGTTGGGTGTCTATACAAGCCGAGGCAAAACGGGGCTAGAGTAATGGGATAACACTTCGTTCATTTGCTTGCTGTTTTGCGATAGTCACGTGCTTTTCTACAGAACGGATTCGCTACAACAAAAGACAACGATGTACTGCATTGTCATAGACACTCCTCTTGTAGGGCAACTAAGATACTGACCTCTCCCTGACCATGACGGATCCCCCGTCTCCACTCCCCCTTGTAGAAACTCCCGTCGCAGAACTATAGAAAATGTAAAAAGTGCCAATGGGTGAGTTACAAAACATAATTTCACATACACTCTATACAGTGGACATGGAGAAGGAATCCTTTAACGATGCCAGACACAGCAATGCACACATGCAACCCAACCAAACCCAACCTCACGCACCGTGTAGGTCCCTTGCCCGTGGCGCTGCCCCTCCGCAAAAAAACCGTCGTAGCTGGACCCGTCCGGCCACGCATACACCCCGTGGCCGTGCCTCTGGTCGTGTTCGAAGCAGCCCTCGTAGGTCCGGCCATCGCTCCATCGGTAGACCCCCCGTCCGTGCCGCTGGTCGTTCGAGTACTCCCCCTCGCAGGTGTCGCCGTTGGGGTAGGAGGCCTTCCCGCGGCCGTGCCACCGGCCGTCCTTCCACCGGCCCTGGTAGGTCCTCCCGTCCGCGTAGGCCATGGTCCCGAGACCCCAGGGGACGGCGGCGTGGGGGGTTTCGTCGCCTTCGTCGTCGTTGGAACCGCGGTCGTGGTCCAGGGAGGAACGCAGGACCTCGCCCTGGTAGTCGCCCCTGTCTCCAAAGGGGTCGACGATCGAGGCGTTCAGGGTTGTCAGCTCCTTGTCGTCGTCGCCGCCGTCGTTGCCAACGCCAGCGTATTCTTGTTCGTGCCTGCTAATGTGGCCCGATGCATCTTTGTAGTCGCCGCCCTCCCCGCTGCTCTCGTCCCCGGAAGAAGAACCATCGCTATCGATCACGGCGTCAACGCTCCGGGCTTCTGGTGGGTCCTGCCTCAGGTTTGCGATTTGTTCCTTCAGGGACACGAGTCCGAGTGTGTCGGCCGTCGCAAAGGCCTGGACCGCATTGTCCACGCGACTCTTCAGCAGCTGATCAAGCCGAACCTCCTCTTCTGTCAAGCTATTACTGATGCTTGCTTTTGAATTCGCCTCCATTGTTGCTTTCGTTTTTGGTGTTGCAAGGAAGAAGCAGCCATTCGCGATGTTGGCATCGAGTGTCATGTTCCAATTCAGGGGTATCCGTTGGGAAAATCGTGGAATAGATGGGTCATTCCCGTAAACAGAAATACTAAATACTTCTACTAGTACTAGTACTAGCGAAAGTATTTTCTCAAACGTGCACCGATAAATGAATGTCTTTTTCTCTCGGGTCCATCCGTGTCGTACGTAATTAGTAGTAATACTACTAGTGGTAGTAATACGTACACAGAGAAGAGGATGGGCTGCACATTTAGCTTACTGAAGTAGTAGGGGAGCCGAGCCAGAAATACGGGGGAAATTTCCAMACCCCAGATGCCAGAATGATGGTGTCATTTCAGATGTATGGTACGGTATTTTGTTTCGCATTTTGTATGTTTCCGTTCTGTCCTGTAGGGCAAGTACGAGGTACCGGCTGGTACGGTAGGGCACTCTACTTCATACCCATCACGTCCATCAACGAACGAAAGATACAACACAACACAAAACAAGCGAACACATCCAGCAATACTGTACCATACTGCAAACTACAATACATCACAATATTGTCGAATTCTAGGGCCTGGTTTGTTTATTTCGTACCGTACTCCCCACTCGAGCTCTGCGGCTCGGCCCGGAAGCCATTGAAGCACAGAAACAACAGCGACGACGACAGCAAGAATACCAGTGGAACCACATTGGATCGAAAACAGACGAATCATGTCCTCCAAGACCTCCCTCCTAACGCGGCGGCTCTACCGGAACCTCCTTCGGACTTCCAGTCCGTTCACGACGCCCTCGCCGAATGCCTCCGTCCTGGTTTCCCTCTTGCACCGCACGGGCATCGACGACCACATTCGGGACTGGGACGCCTTTGTGGCACAGGATTTGGAGGGCTCCGGCGGCCCGAGCGGAGACACGGGCAGGGGCGACAACGCCGAAGAAAAGATGGTCAGCATCGACCGGGCCAGAGATCTGTCCCGGAGCTACGCCCCTGACCCAAACAACGGCCAGGATTCTTCTCCTGCGAAGTCACGCAAAAAGCCGCCGAGCAATCGAACCTATCAGCGGCTCTTCCGGCGGTTGCTCCGGGAGGTGGTCACGGGAAACGATGGCTACGGGAAAATGGTCTTCCCCTCTCAGGCAGACACCACCCGACTGCGGAAGGTCATCCAGAGGGAGTTTCGTGCGAACATTAACAACTGCAATACCAGCAACAATAGCAACGGCAAAGACGACGAAGACACAGAAAYGGACGCAACAACGCCAACAACCGCCACAGAAACCAACCAAAACAAACGCTACCAACACAGTACTACTCCCGCTGCCTCCATTCACTTTGACGACGAAACGCGGCGGCAGGTTGCCTTTGGCGCGCTCCGAGAACTCAACAAAAAACTCTCGTACTACGACTGGCTCGAGCAACACAGCCCCAAGCCCCAGCTTCCGCAACAGGCGGCACGGCATGTTTCGGCCCTCTCCACCCACCCACCGGCATCGTATCTGCGGCCCGGTGTCTTTTTGGTCTCCCATCCCTACATGCAGGATTCGTATTTTTCCAAGACGGTGATTTGCATCCTGGAGCACAACAGGCTCGGAAACGGCGGAACACGAGCCGAAAACAGCGACGAAGCAACAGATACCGACACAGCAGCGGGAGACCGCCCCACTAAGAAGAGCACCCCGCGGCGATCAGCGACGCCCCCCGGGCAGACCTACGGTGTCATTGTCAACCGCCTCAGCACACACAACGACACCGGAACGAACCGAACCCTCCGGGAGGTCTTTCGAGAGCACATGCTCCCCGGGCCCATGGCGGACGTCTTTGGGGATTCCGTGGTCCGGGAGGGGGGACCGGTCCATGTGGCCCTCCAGATGGTGCACTCGCTGTCGGGGCAGCGCCGGGACGAGCTGGCCCCGGTCATCGGTGGAACCGTCGTGCCCTCTGTGGACGACGGAGACGACGACGACGAGGGCCGGACCGCCTGCTCGGACAGGTCGACCTACTTTCAGGGAAACATGTTCAAGGTGATGTCGCAGGTGGAGGAGGGAAAAATGAACGGCGGTGCGTATTTCAAAACATGTTTCGTATTCTTCGCATTAGGTCGTATCGTAATGTTTTGTGTAGTTTGCGTCTGTGTCTTTCATTCTGTAGACGTGTGCATGATGGAACCTACTTACATAAACTGGCTCCTTTTTGGTTTGTTTTCCAAACTAAACAAATACCTAGAGGACATCTCATTCTTTGTCGGTGCCTCGATATGGTCTCCCGGTCAGCTCGCGGCGGAAATTGCCCAAGGATATTGGATCCCCTGTCGGGGACCCCCCGAGATGGCCCTCGACGGAATCTGCGAGCACGAGCAGCAGGCCACTGACTCGTCKTCTGGGAACAAAACCAGGCCGCTGGCCGATTTGTGGTTGTCGATGATGAGTGCTTGCGGTGAAGACGAAGCGAGGCTATCACACCTGTTTCATCCCGATCACTGGGACGAGAACGGCAWGGCATGCGACGCCTTCGATGACGAGGACGACGACATTGTGGTCTTTTGAGATSGTTGGATTGGATTGCTAGTTTTGSTTTTATTTTTGCCTTTTGAGCATGATTRTTTTTTGAAGTCGGTTCGCCGATCTCTTAGCAACTCCATCCAATGGTCAAGTTTCCATAATCGCTGGGCAACAAATGGTATGCGTGTGATACTAGCTTCTGCATATCACAGAACAWAACTACTCGAAATCAATGCCTAGCTATTAGATTTTGGTCGWACCAACTATCGTGTTCTGTCTCAAAAACATTCATCTTCGTACCGCTTTACAMATCCAAAGAACTCATTGCACCGAAAGCAGCTTCCATCCCCGTCTCAGATTCAAATACAGTTCGTCTTTTGCATCGTCTTCTCTGTTGTATTCGCGGTCCAAGAGTTCCAGAACGGCGTCCGCTCTCGGACGGTCCCGACTCCAGGACCGGCCGAAACCACTATCGTTGGCAGTGGTTCGCCATGCATCCAGTACGTATTGGAAAGAGGCATAATTCGGTCTGACGCCGTATGTTTTGGTCAGGAGCAGAATGTCTTCCGCCCTTACCACGGCCTCTGGCATCGTCGGCACCTTCGCCAGCCATCCCTTCAGCACRCAATTGAAGAGCCGCGTATCGAGGTTTTGATCCTTGTCGCGCGCTTGTTTCGAACCASCAGGAGAGGAAAAACTTTTGTCGGAACCATCGACAGAATGCCACTGCGTAAAAAAGTCTACAAGGAGTTCTTCCGACCTCTCAAGCTGTCCAATCTCGGCCCATGAACGAACAATGGGTAGATAGCTTAGGTTTCTTGGCTTCGCATCAGATCCCGGGTTGAGTTCGTGATACGCTATCATTTGTCGTAGCAATTCCTCGGCTCGTTCGAATCCATCTAGCGTTTTTTGGTGGCACCACTTGTTGATTACAATGTTAAATACATCSGTGGACGGTTCCCATTCGGGTTCGTCGATTGCAAAATGAATCAAACGCTCGCCTCGCTCGGCTGCATCYGGCTCATCGGATTTGCACCAGGAAGAAACCAGCATCCGAATCAGATCCGAATCGATTCTCATCTCACACGATCCCTTTTCGTGCTCCTCCTTCCACTTCCAAAAGAACTCCTCCGATTTCTTCGGGTCGAACCGAGACCAGGTGGTAATCAATGCCAAATACGAAGCTCCGACCGGTGCTTTGGTAGGGTCCGATTCCGATAATTCCACCAGGCGATCAAAAATTTTCTGGACCTTKGCAGCCGATTCCTTGGTCCGTTGCTTTGACCAGCACACCATGACAATGTTGAAAAAATTACTCTGAATCTTRAGGTTTGGAATCTCCTCTGACYGTTCCATYTCCAGCATGTGCTCTAGGACAGCCTCCGCCCGTTCTGCRGCATCCGGATCACGAGACTTCGACCACGCATACAAAACCAACGAAAAGAATGACGACGTAGGCATCAGCGAGCTACTATTTTCGTGCCCTTGTTCGTAATGGTCCAAGTACATGGTGTACAAGTCTTCCAAGAGGGCCTCAACTTGATCACCGTCACCCCTGTGGGCAAATATATTCATGACCCGACGGTAAGCATTTTTGTCGGGCATAAACTCGTTTCCCCACCCCGATGCGTAGAGAGACTTGAGTTTATTAAGAAGGGCCAGGGCTCGCTGGGGAGCCTCTCGATTGGCTTCGGCGGGTGAGTAGATTGCGGTCTGCTCCCACGACAGCATGGCAATGGTGAACGCATGCGCTGACGGGCGGATCAATGGATTCTTGCGCTTGCTCTGATCCATGATTTCCTCCAAGATTGTTTCGGCAAGTCTTGGTCCGTACGGAAGATTGAATGTTTTTGGTTTGGCGTGTGTGGTTCCTTCCATAATTTTGTGATACGTCGGAGATTCCATCGGGATGCCTATCTGCTGATAATTCTTTATTTTATTCCATACCTTTAAAGGAGACATCATTCGATGTGATCTCTTTCTGTGGCTGTTGTTAGTATCGTTGGTCCCATTGCTTTGGCTCTTCCTGGCGGTCCGTTTGCGTCGACGATAGTACGACTTCGACTGCGGCTTGTCGATGTTTTTTTGCTGTGCGATATACCCGTTTAGCCATTGTCGCACTACCTGATCGACCATTTCGTGTGTTATCCTCGTATCCGCAGCTGGTTCCATTGCAGCTCGATCGAGTAATTCGAATGCATTGTATATTGTTGTTTCATCGTCGCAAAGCTGATTTAGCAAGGAAGAAAATTGTGGCCAAGAAAAAGAGCCAACGGGACTATCGAGCAGTTCAAATACTTCCTGTCGAACTTTTTTGAAATTTTGTAGGGCAGCTTGGTTCTCTTCGTGGTAGCCCAAAAATTCGGCATCCGTTTTCCGCAAAGGCATAGATATATCGGTTTTTACAACGCCGTCGTTGTCGTCGAGTTTGTCCTTGTGGCTTGGCAAGAAGGAAAATAGCGTTCTTTGTTGGTGCTGACGCAGCACGATCGGAGGTGACAAACGATTGGGTCTCACATGGCTGTGCGAACGTTCCATTGAAGCACGGAACGGAAGATTGGATAGTCGCCGGATACTTCCGACCATGGGTTGTCGAAAAGCGGAAGCTCTCTCACTGCAACTGCTACCGCTGCTTTCACCAGGCTGCGATCGAAGCGTTCGTCGTCTGTACGTTAGCAAAAGCGACCTCTTCGCCGTGCCGCGGGCAGATCTCATGGTCCCGAATTATTGTCCAATACGCTGATTCTTTTTTATAAGTGCGTCCTCCGTGCTTCTCGCAATAAGATGCTGTCATCGTGATTGATGATGAAAGAATAATACTGAGAGGGATCAAGYCGATGACGACGATCATGGTGAGCAAGAAAAAAGAAAGAGAACAAGAAGGTACGGTATGAATGTAGCTCAGTACGCTTGTAATACTGTACCGTACGTACTCGTAGTTATTTTTTCAAAAAATACTTCGAATCATCTTTCACGGGATGTGATAAGAATGATGTTATTCACGAGCTATTCGGGATTCGTTCTACGCACACATGTTTTCGGGAGAGAACGAAGTCCGTAGTTCAGTCCCGTGATGAGAGTCTTGAATTGAGACCCAACTCGCGATTTTTTAACGAATGGAAATCTAACCGAACAGAAAATGTCTCCTCTCCTTGTTGCCTGCGCTCGTGTTTCTCCACCTTCATGTAAGACGTAAGGGTGCACTCACTTGGATCCCGTCGCCGTTTCTTTGCCTTCCACCAAAACTAATCGCTTGAACAGTATCAATCAGAGCAGAAGTTCGAAATAGGACACAAGGAAAACAGCAGATATCTCAGTTTAATCTTAACGTAAAGTAATCAACTATGGATGTGGTACGTAGGAAAGACGTAATGTGAAAGCCGAACCCATGACGCAACGAAGGAAGTCAAAACTACTTCGAGAGATCTCGGAGTTAAAAAATGTTTTTTTCGGTGTGGTGTCMCAATACGCTCAGATGGTTCGTTTTCGCTTGGGATCTGACCGGCCTCGTTTCTGTCTTTTGTTCAATGATGCGTGTTCAAAAGGGTGGATTTTTTAGCGCCATCAGTAGCGCCGGGGGTGTCAAAATTCATATTCGAACGACCCCCACGCCGGAACAACAGCAATCGTCGAACGCAATTGCCCCGATAGACCATTATCCCAACTGGTACGTTCCRTGTTCGATTGCTGTTTTTCAAACGATCGCCAAAAACAAGTTGTAGCGCAAATTGTCTTTGTTTTTCGTTTGGCTCATTCGTTTACTTACTCTTTCCTCATCTCTCATCCCGTGTAGGAAATTGCACAAGAATCCCTTTTGGCGAGTCAAGCATCCGAAGAGCAATCGATTTCGCAGTCAGGCTACCGTCGTACCCATGATGTCGGGAGGGCAACACGCAATGCAAGAGACAGCCCTTTTTGCCTACGACCGGAGTCAGGACATTGGTGGGGTTGTCACACTCGAATTGGCACCCGGGAAAAAGGTAGAGCACATGGGGATCAAGGTTCAATTCATTGGCCGCATCGACATGAGCATGGGTGTCAACGAAGGCCGGCCCCATTACGATTTTGTCTCTCTGTCGAAGGAGCTGGCTCCGCCGGGAATACTCTATCAGTCTGTAGTCCATCTTCCCTTTTTGTTCCGCAATATAGACAAGGAGCACGAGTCGTACCGCGGACGCAATGTTTCCGTTCGATACTTCGTGAAGGTTGTTCTGGAACGAAAGTTCCTTCCACCTCTTCACAAAGAGCACGATRTGTGGATCCAGGTTCTAGGCCAGGCTCCTGCGCAAAACCAGGCAATCAAAATGGAGGTTGGGATAGAGGATTGYCTGCACATTGAATTCGAGTACGAGCGTCGTGTCTATCACCTCCAGGACACCATTTTGGGGAAGATTCATTTTCTCTTGGTACGCATTAAAATCAAGCACATGGAGTTAGCCGTCATTCGGAGGGAAACGAGCGGCGACCGGGTTGGTTCCGGGGGAAATACACCCTCCGTACCGCAGGGAGGTTCCAACAACGATAGTGCTGGCGGCAACGTATTTACGGAAACGCAAACCCTAGTMAAGTACGAAATCATGGACGGAGCCCCCGTCAAAGGGGAGGTCATTCCGGTCAAGTTATCTATGCGCGGGATTCCGGCTGATCTGACGCCCACATATAGCTCTGTCAACAACCGGTTTTCGGTGCGATACTTTCTCAATTTGGTCCTGGTGGACGAGGAAGACCGTCGATACTTCAAGCAACAAGAAATCATTTTGTGGAGAAAAGAGCTGGGTTAAGGACTATTTTGAATGGTGTGTGTTTTCGATGTGAATTCGTGGTAAAAGGTTGGAGTTTTGGAAAGTCGGGTTTCACGACCCTTGGAAAAAATTCTTAATATTATGTTTAACCTCGTGATCTACCGGTACGGTAGAAGAGGCAYTATGTTGGCCAGAACCATAACTTCTGGAGAGAAGAATGCTCTTAGCTACTCCAAGGGGCGGCGCCTCCCTCCGAGGAGATGTTGTGAATGMGCGACCAGGGTTTCACAACCCATGCAATATGCTCACGCAGGAATTTCTTTTGTCACGAATAGTGATGGGGTACGATATAATTCAACACGGCTCTAATGAAGTTTAGGATGCTTGTAGCGATTCCTTTCTACATACCAAGAACTAAATACAAACGTTAGCTATGCTGTAGAAGTGATAGTAGTATCCCTAAATGGACAGATCTCGAAACGAGCTTGGATTTCAATAAATTGCTAGACCGAAGCAGTCGTTGAACATTAGAACCGAGTCATTTCTGCGCGTGTCACGAAGACGAAGAGGCCGGTGGATTCTTTGTGGGTGACGATGTTGTAGACGACGCCGGCTTTTTGGTACCGCCGTTCTTGGTCCCGTTGGACGCGGGCTCGCCGCTTTGTTTCTTGTCTCCGCTCGGTGCCTTGCTTTCTTCGGCCCCGTTGGCACCGGCGCCGGAAGCCTCGTCGCTTTTCGTTTTCTCGTCCGCTGGCTGCACCTGTTGTGCAGTGGACGACGATACAGCTGGATCTGCCTTACTGTTTCCGCTTTCTTGCAGGTATTTGTGGCTCCCCTCGATTTCGTCGTTGTCGTCGTCTGTTTCTATCGCTTCCTTTCCGTTGAGATGAAAGTTCCACGCCTCGAGTGGACGTACGATATCTCTRAGCAACAGAGTGTCRTCTTCGTCATCGCTGTCTTCGTCTTCTTCTTCTTGATCGTCGTTGTCCCCGGTCTTCTTCAAACAAAGTCGTTCCCTTGTAACCTCCACCACATTTTCTTGGTAATATTCTTCCTCTTCGTCTATCGAGTCGTACTCTTCTTCTAATTCTTCCATGGCGAGGGCTTCCATGGCCGCGTCTGGTTTCTCGGGACCGGTGGGCTTCGATGCAGTGGCAGCATTCTTTTTGGTTCCCTTTTTTGGTTTCTTCTTTGTGCCCGCTGCATCGGAGGATGCCTTGCCGCTTCCCGCGCCTCCTCCCCCCTTCTTAAGTGCATCGGCGGCGGCGATCGTGAGCACCGCAATGTCTTCGCGGGCCTTAGTGATGGCTTCTCTTCGGCGCTTCCTATCGTCGCTGTCGGCCTCGTAGTTTTCCATGTGTCGTTTCCGTTGCTTCGCGGCGTCCCTGGTCATGGCGGCGCCCTTGAGCCGCTGGTCCCGGCAGGCGATGGATTGCTGCAACACGGTAGCCAAGAACCGATCCGCGGACGCCGATACGATCGATGCCACCGTATCATCCAGATATCCAACCCCCTGGCGCTGTAGCATGCGTCTCGACAAGGCCGTTGGTACGGTCGGGCCGTGGCTGGTGGGCATCGGTTCCGAATGGTGGTGATGGTGCAGGTTTGYGTTTTTTCGCTCCCGCCGTTGCAGGCGATCGATGAATTTTTCTATTTGGGCGTCCTCCGACAGAAGCGTGGCAGTGGCAGCTTCTAAMGGTGTCGCACGTCTCTCCAGGGACGAATTRGTGGTGTTCAATTTCTTCCCTATCCCCGGTTGCGGGGAACCCATCGAGGAAGTCCCCGAAGTGGGTGGTGGGCCCAGGCCTAGCTTGGCCCGCTGGAGTTCAATCATTCGCTCGCTCATGGTATTCTATTCTGTACTTGATCGTTTCGTTTTGTTTAAGAAGATATATTGATCCAGTACTTGGTGACGAGCGTGTTGGTAGATTTGGTACACACACCTGGTGCTCCCTGCCCTTCCTTTTTGCAACAAAGCCGTATTGAAAATTTCAGTAAACTTTCCTTCAGCGACTTTTATTTGATCCCCATGCTCTCGTAATTGGAAAACAAATCACCTCGAAACCAGCTTCGGTTTGTTTATTATCTGTCAGACACAAGGTTTACCAATGTATTCGATCTTGCCTTTCTCTTTCTCGCTCTTCCTGCCACGGATACAACACAGTGTCCTTGGCAACTATTCAATGCGCTGTCGCGATACGATCCCTGAGGTAGCTATGGATGCGTTTCGTTCGCCCTGTTTGGCTTCTATTATGTTCCAAAGATTCCTGAAAGATGCGGCCTGAGACCAAAGATGGTTGTGCTACCCGAGACAAAGACGACGGCAGATGAGATGAGATGCGATGCGATGCGATGAGATGATGGGTGCGGTGCGGTGCGATGATGCATCGGAGTTCACTCACTGTTCCTTTTGGGTGTCTTTTTTCAGGGGTAGTACTACTACTTTTCGATTGCACGGTACGAGTACGTACAGGTACTACTCGTACTGATCTAGTAACGGTACGATACAGACAGATACTCGTACCGTGGATGTGCAGCCTTCGCAGGCACCGGTATTTACAGTACTTTTCACACGGATGAAGTTCGTACTTACGATACCGTACATTATGGCACTAGGTGCCGTGGGATACTTCGTTGAACTCAGCTTAGCGGAGCGGGACCATTTCTGGAATACGGTTGAYGGACAGCCTTCTGGAGGAAAATGAGTATGCATGACTAGAATTTCTTTTTGAATCACGAAGAAACGGTTGGCATCATCCCATCATCCATCGAAATTCAAAAAACAAATGAGTGATTTTTTTTCTATCAAATTCAGAATTTATCGTCGTTAAGCCATCATCTCCCGCTTGTCCACCTGCTCCCGACTTTGGCCACTTTCAACCCGTTCTGAACGAATTGATCGGGTGGATGTAGATAGGCACAGATGAACAATCCGGTGTCGTCGAGACAAGGTGCACTTGTACGGACTTTGTACCGAAAGATGCTTCGTGAATGCGAGCGGATTCCTCCAAGTGCATCCCTACTGCACCTAAATCAAAAATGGGCCTGTGACGATCCAATCAAAGACCGCGAGGCTCTTCGCACGTGTCTCAGGACATCCTTTCGTCGMAAYAACGTGGCCAGCAGTGACAGCACAAATACCGACAAAAACGGAAGAGTCCTCGGTGAAGAAAAAGGGATTCAAGACGCCATGGAGGGTTTGAAAGTGTTGCTGTCGTTCGATCCAAGCTCAMCGATAGATGCATCGCAAATAGCAGGCAACGAACCGATGCGCAACGAAAAAGTCGGTCCCGGTGACCGCGACCGCGATCCTTCGGGACCATCGTGGACCAACTCCGACGCCTTGCTGGAATCCGTGGAATGGCTTCCATGCGTCTCCGAGATGAAAGACGTCCGTGGGGTTGACGAAGAGTCGTTGCTCCTCCCCGTCTTTCCTCTCGCGGGGCCCCTRTTTTTGGATGGCGAGGGCAAGAAGCTGCCRCTGCTATCGCAGTTTTCAGAAGTTCCCGTCGCCGGTATGGAAATGTCGCTTCGGATTTTCGAGCCACGGTATCGAGAAATGTACCAAGACCTGCTGTCGTCTCCCGACCAGTCGTCGAGAAGGTTCGTCGTACCCTTTTCGCACCCGTATAGATCGGGGCAGTTTGCCGCGCTCGGTTGGATGTACGAAATATCGGGGGTTCGCGACGTGGCGGATCAGTTCAATGGCAAAATCCAGCTCGAATGCAACCACGTTGTCTCTAATCCMGTCCGGATCCTCGAACTAGTTAATCCAACGGAGCATGGCACGCAGTCGACCTATCTGCGCGCCCGGGCCGAAATTCTCAGCAACAACGAGCCCAAAACCGACGAAACTACCGGCGAAGAGGGTAAGGAAGGTGGTCCCACAGACCTTCTCATGCTCGAAGAGATGCTTCAAAAGTTCAAAAAGGACCCGCAATCTCCTTCTTTCGACAACCCCCATCAGCAGATGTGTTTAATAGATCGCCTATTGATTGCTATAGGGGAAGGAAGTGTGTGGCCCGTTGCACAGGCTTGGTTGTCGCACCTGCAGGTAGACATATTACGTCTGCAGGCGAAAATATCTACCAGAATTCAGCTACAAGCTACAGCCGAACAAAAAAGGTCGACCGGAAATTATGATGGAGTGGAATGGCAGGGACTTGTTACGGAGGAAATGGTGTTGCTTGCCCAAGAGCCATACAAACATAATCTTAGGTGCATGCTGATTGAGGTTTCTACGCTGGTTCCCATGTTGCTCCAGCAGCAATCTCATAGGCATCAGTGCTATTATATTTATCGAAGGATTCGAGAACATATTTACAGAAGAATTCGACAGCGCATGATGGAATGACGAATTCCCTCGCATTGTTGTGAAAGCCGAAGTATGCAAAGATCGTTTTTAGGCTATCTATATTCTATTTTATAATGTCATGTATCATGATATTCTTATCACGCTGACACTATATCAAAGCTTTTGTTTCCAGGCATATAGGCCACACCCACTTTGGTCAACAGTTGTTAGCATCCCATGCTTCAAGACCACAGTCCAGGGTAGATTAAAGAATTAATTGCTGCTCTGTTATTAACTGGTCGAAAGGCGTCTTTGCAAATTCTAATATTTCCCAGTTATTCCATGATGTCTCGTCAAAACCCATCATTGTGTTAGCATTCACCTATGTTTTACGATCAAGATGGGACCAAAGTCGTTCATGTCGTACTTTTGGCCAAGGAAAGGTCAATGAACTCGGCAAACTCTTGATTTAAGTAATTTGTACACTCCGCCAGTTGAGGCAATATCATACGATAGCTAAACTCCTTCACCTTTGCAACAGGGAACCCGCCATGACGAACCAACTTCCTCCAATACCTGTGTTGAAACGAACGGGACAATAGGAAGAAATTTGAAGTCAGAATTTCACCACAATTTAAATACGTGCGAACGGAATAGAAGATTTTTGAATTGAAAAGTCATTCAACTTACGGGATGTTACGTGCCCACGTCCTGAAACGGTTCTTCTTCAGGAATTCCTCTGGTGTGTCTGATGGATAAATGCCATACACCTTGTCGCAAGGATATTTCATTGCAAGATCGTGTTCAAAGTTGTTGACGATGCATGCTTTTTTGTCATCCTGGTTTGGGCAAAAATATGGATGATTCGCTGGCAAGCAAGAATGGCGACGGAAAATATCTATACCTTCCCGAGTGAAGCCACGATAGACACTTTCAACCCAGAAATGTTTAGGATCATTATCGCCCTCAAAAAATTTCGGACTGTAGGAATAGCTTAAAGAAGTCAAACTCACATTCTTTAAGCTCAATGCATCGAATATTTCTGAAAAGTGCCGCATAGCGAAAACTGAGTCGTTCACGAAAGCAAACTCATCGAAATCGTCAACATTCAAAGAACTAACGGCATCACACCAGAGGCCAACATCGTATCGATCGTTGGTGAAGTGTTCCACTTGAATTGAAGTTTCATTGTTGATCAAACTCGGGATACTAGCTTTTGCCACTCGAATAAATTGGCGTGCAACTTCCTTCGCCCAACTCGGGACAGCCAAAACAATGTGATCAATTCCAATCGTGAAACATTCCAGTTGACTCCACACTGCCAATAAGTGTTTTTGGTTACGTGGAACGGCTGCCATCACCAAGACTCGTCGCTTTTTGCCTTTTATTTCTTTGGTATTGATCGAAGGTGGATTATTGCCGATCGTCCTCTCAGAAAGGCCTGGACCTTGTTCTATTCTTGAGCCAATAGGGCAAGAATTCAAATTTTCTTTCGAGACATAGTTTTCAGTTTTTGAAGGTATTTTCCTTGACTTTTCCGTCTCATTAGATTTGACACCTCTCCAACATACATCTCTCCTTCTCCAAAGAGCTGCTTTTTTTTTATTCGTGGGCAACCATCTCTTATCACGCTTTAAAGAGGTCCAACCCCACCACGATTCATCAGGCTTCTCTTGGTACAACCCCCAGTATTCATCTAATCTATGCTCGATAAGAATGCCTCGGTTCACGCACTGTAACCACTTGACATAAGCTATGAGATCGAAGCGAGGTGCTTTTGCAAGTTGGATATCGAATATACCGTTTTTCGGAATCCCATCGTAATCCCATACGAATTTGGGATCTGCATACAAATCACAGGGCTAGTGTGATGGAACCAGTATCGTACCGAAAGATAAAGAGTGAATAGATTAGCACAATTTTTTTGACAAAAGTAAATAGGTTGATCTATGCAGAAACGTTTTGTTTGATGTTCTTACCTTCACCTTTGGGTGTGAGTGGATCCAATGCTCCGCACTGAATCGTAGTCGTCCGTCACAGCTCTCTCTACCTTTTGGTGTACAGTTGGTGGTAAACTCGTTCATGCGTTCTTCAAAGTCGAAAGGGTCTATGAGGTGCTGAACGTAGTCGCATCTTGCAAGCCACATATTTCCAGACGTATGTGGATGTGGTAAGGGAGAAAATCGCGACGAGCAAACGTTGCAAGTTTCGGCATTTACTGAGGCGCATTCTTTCGAGAGGGCCCCACGAGTTAAGAAAAGGCGTAGGCTTGCATTTTCGGGTGTATTCCTGGACGACCCCTTGCTGTGCAAATACACCACCTTTTCCACGCGTGGATTTTGTCTACAATATTCCCAGAGTGACCGTAATGTTATCATTTCTGTTCCACTCTGACGGTGTCCCAACACGGTTGCATTTGGAACTTCAAGCTGGGTCGCTCCCATGGATTGAACGAAAACAGGTTTGTGTTCTTGGCGCATCATTGCCATCTGCTCAGATACGATATCAAGGACTCGCGAAGAATCATTCTTGTGTCCCACGTGTAAATTGTAAAACACGGGAATGGAACCATCTTCAAAGATCGCTTGCTCTTGCGATTCGAACCTTTCTCCCGAGGGAGGACCAAGCGCTTGCGAAAAGGCGTTCTCGTCCCACACGTGCAAATTGTGTACTAATGGAATGGATGCATTTCCAGTAATACTGTATCCTAGCAACTTGGCGTCTTCTTCCAGAGGGGAAAGCTTCTTCTTCGACGAATACACAGAATTCAGGAGAACTAGTTGGAACTGAGATGTATCCTGCACGTATGCAAGGTGATATGTGCCGATGACGATGAACTGGACAACAATAACAATAACGACGCCCAAGCCTATCAACGGAAGGCGCGAACCGGTGAATCTAGATGCTGATTTTTGTGCCCGATTTGTCAATTGCGTTGTCGGTCGCTGCATTTTGTGGTTCAGTCTCGTTGTCAGTCTCTCGGTAGAGGAAGCAGACTTTGACTTCTCATGACTTTTCCCGTCTCGGCCCAAATCGTGCATTTTTATGAGTTTTCAAGGTTTTCCAAGAGTGATGATGTGTCCTCTCTCTTCACATGTGTATATTGTAGTACAAATCCAACACAAAATAAGACTGAAATACCAAAAAAGTTTGAAAGAACAATTATAACTGTTATACAGTAATCTCGCGGCTATCACTTCACTAAATGATGAATGTGTAGATAGAGGAGATGTATTGAATATGTATGTTATTGATAGATTTCTAAGTTGGTAAACACAAGAAAAGTGAGATCAATCTTGTTCTTCTTGGGTTTTCTTGATAATCTGGCTCTCGTGGCCTTTCTCTTTGGATTTATTATTTCCCAGGTTTGTTCTGTCCTGTAACGGATTATTTTTGATCGTGCGCGAGCCTGTCATTCTCTGTCTGTCATGCGTACGCTCTCCAACACACTCCTGCAGTCTCTCAGTGGCTTCCTGATCACTGATGAGATTGTACCGTTGTAGGACCTCGTAGTATTTTTGCTTGTACTTATCAAAATCAATTGGGTTCACGCCCAGTACTGCGTTTCGAAACTTGTAGAACAGAGCTCCCTGGACGGGTTTCGTGAAGAAGTCGGCAATCATTTCTTCTGTCGGACAATATTGTACCTTGAGGTGTTTCTTTTCGATTCGATCGGTAACAAAGAAATACCTTATGTCAATATGCTTGCTACCCTTGCCGGCCGAGAAACGTCCATTGTTCTCAAGTAGAATAGTGCTCTGATTATCTTGCATGAGAATATCCTCTTTGTCATACCCTCCTTGTGCAATTCGAAATAGACGAAACCACATTGACTTTGGCAACTTTTCGCCCACTGCGACTATTTCAGTTTCTGTGCTACTGACCGTATTTAGTTTGAGTTTGGTCRATGAACTATACATTGCTCCCTTGCCCTCTGTGCAATAGACACCTCCATGACCTTTCATATCGGCATGCACTGCATGTGCTCCGTCCATGTAGATGATTGAGCCTTCTCCATCGGAACGAAGTATGAGTGGAAGATATCGTGTATGCTGGATATACTTTGCCAGATGTCCTAATTTCTTCCAATCATGCTCGTCAGGTGATTTGACTCTAGTGCACAGAAATCCGCAAGGCAATTGTAAATCGACCCTGCACCTCATTCCCAAATATTGGATCGTTGCTGTCAATGTGTGAAATTCATCCGCTCGCTTCTTGTCTAGTAACCCACAGTCAGTTCCATTCGTCTTGAATAAGTATTCTGGTGCGGCTGTCGGTTTCTCACCGATCATCTCACTTGGAAGCTTGTCCATGAGTTTCTTGATGTAGTCATACATGGTAATTTCGATTTGCCCACTAGTCGTAAAATCCAGTGTCATACCGAGATACTCATGAGTCTTCCCTCTRGTGATTGTTAGGGGATCGGTCTTCCCGTACACAGCTGTCAGTTGCTTCAATACGTTGGTGACGATTATGGGATCAACATGGCTAATGATCCCATCGTCCACATGGAAAACAATTGTCAGCTGTGAATTGTTTACGTTTTTGTTCCAGACACATGGATCGTAAGGATTCATCTCCAAACCCCACTCTTGTAGATGTCCCGTCAATTTCTTGTATGCAAGTATAGCTGYGTTTAGAGTTCCGTATATAGCTTTCTTGCATAAAACATAGATGACCGGTCTTCCTTTCTCCTTTCGTAGGTGTTTCTGCCATCGGTCTCTATCGTATTCGACGAGTAATAAGGCTACTGCTCCAGTGATCTTGAGATGCAATTCCTCATCCATGTCTGCTGTTTGTAAAAACTGTGCCGGTAGATCGAATGTAGCTATATCACGATCTTCCATTGCGATTATTGCAAGTACATACTTGAGTGCTTCTGCGGCTGGTGTTGGTGAGGACACATCGCGCTTGTCAGTCCATATGCACTGTGGTCTCCCATCTGCACACCCTCTAGATTTCAGTTGTCCGCTGCGTTTGAATATCATGAACATGAGTATCGGAAGTGCCTTCCGTTTYTGTTCATTAGTAAGGCTTTCATACTTGACCTCTCCGAAGCAATCTCGTGACACTAAGTTACCGAGTTCCTTCATGACTGATGCTTTTCCTTCGTCACCATGACGTTTCAAACCCTCTCGGACACTCATCTGGGTCATAGCATAATCGCTAATGAAATCGTAGTAGCTGAAATTATCCTCAATGAAATTGAGTGCTTGTATGTAGTTCTGTCGTTCATGTTGCGTCAGAGGTCTGACTTTGTCTGGTGATGTAAAATCAGTCATATTGCATACATGGGTGAGCTGTAAGTCACACCCAAGATTATCAATTGCCTCACTAACAGAAAGGTAAACAAAGTCGTCATCCTGTGTACTCCTCACGACACGTCCACTCTGAGTACGTATCTGATCATCTTCGGTTGAGTTGTCATCATCTGAATTATCATCGTTCACTCCTGTGATGTGGTCTGCATGATCCACTCCTGTAATTTGTTCGTCATCGTGGTCCACTCCTGTACTTTGTTCATCATCGTTGGGTTCTTCCGCGATTTCATTCTCTGGTTCAAACACAATCTCTATCTGGCTGTCAGTTGAATCTGTTGAACTGTTGTCATCCGAATCGTCGTTTGGTTCAGAAGCGATGTCGGGGGGGTCCACTCCTGTAGTCTCGACAGTGTCAATTGGATCAGTGTCGGAGTTAGAATCATCCGGATTAGATGTTGGGGTTGACTCAGGATCATCAGGAAGATCAACGGTGATATCATTATGAGTAGTAGGATCATAATCTTCGTCATCGGAATCATCATCCGGGTCGGAGTCATCCATGATGTTATTTCGGTTTCCAAAATGTAACCCTGATCGACTCTTACGGGCCATTCGATGTACACGTTTGATCACATCAGTCGGCATGGGTAACAATTGATAATTGTCCTTAGTTCGAGTGAGGATTCGTCCAGTATCAAGGCTGAAAAACAGTACGCCCCCTTGCAAATTCCCGGAGGGCCCAATAGCAATTGCCCCAACAGTCCGTTCACGCATGGTGTTGTCCGTGCCTTCGTAAGTCTGGGCATATTCACCAAAGATAACTTGAAAATGAAGCTTGTAGCTCAGGAGATAACCTTTGACCAATGTAAGAGGACTGAGTTCTTTGGAGACACCATCTGGCCACGGAAATGCGTTGAGGTAGAAAACCACATTCTTGAGTAAAGCAACAAGAAGTCTCTTGGGGATTCGTTCAAATGGCAACATTGCAAAGGATGAGCGGCATCGTTCCTTGATTACTCGAATGAATCGTTCGATCTCAGGCACATGTTCTTCTTTGGACACGATGTTCACTGAGATTTGATGGTTCTTGAGACGCTGTGTAAGCGATTCGAATTGCATATCTACCATGATATGTGTAATAGTGAATCCTCGCAATTGGTACGACTGTGATACCGATAAAAGCGCCTGTTCAAGATCATTAGCTTTTAGTGTCGGTAGTATGCAGACAGTCCCGTAGTGAATTCCACGTGAAATTGTGGCTAAGAAAGGGACTTGATTGACATGTAGTACGTCGGCTGCTAAAGTGACATTCTTGTAATCCTCGAGGATATTAGGTGGGAGAGGAACCAACTCTTGTGTCTCCACCTGATCACTTTGCCTTGCCGTTCTTTTCCCTTTCAGTCCATACACGCTTGGGCCTAACATTTTCTTTGTTAGTCCAATATCACGAACAGTGAAAGGAAAATCATTGATTGGTCTTCTAGTTGCTGCTGCAGTCAAGGCTTGGTCACTCGGATGAGCAGCTATATGTTGGAAGCGACGGAGCTTCTCTGCTTTATACACATCACGTTTTGTGTATTTTTCCTTGTTCTCTTGAACCGTCTCGATTACAGCCCGTTCTGTAAGACTCGTTGCATGAGTTGGGAAATGGTGATTTGCGAGGACCGTTGCTCCAAACACCATATTGGGTTTCCCAGCTCCGAAACTGTTTGCACAATCATGATAATACAGTCCTTTTCCATCCGGTTGGAAACGACAGATTGTTCCGTCAGGAGCTTCCATTYGGAAAGATGTATCTCTCCTCCCTTGTGAATCAACCCGACTGGTATAATCGATCTCGAAGCCTTCTGTCTCCTGTATTGCATGAAAGGACAGTATGTTTGCAATCCCTTCACGATGTAGCCACACAGTACCTACTCCAGGTAGTTCTCCCACTGTTGCACTTCCGGCGTTTGTGTGAAGGATGAGCTGTCTCTTGGTGGTTCGTATATTGACCAGGAACATTGGGTTCCAGAATATGTGTATGGTAGACTGATTGTCTAGTAGCAAGACCCAGAATCGATCGAGTCTACCCTGCAGATTCCTCGTGTTTAGGCAATGTCGATGATTTCCTCGCAGGTCCTCCACGTAAGGTTCTGCGGGATATTCAAAGCTATGATGGACAAATCCGTAGGCATGTAGTATCTCATCCTTATCCAGTTCGTCGTCGAAATCGAAATCAGACGATTCCACCATGAACGTGGTCGCTGTGTCGGCATCGGATGATTCTATCATGAGGTCCGTCTTGGTAGTATTTGTGGTTTTGTTTTGCTTTCGATCGTTGATTGGTTTTCCATCAATGGTGGTATCGAAAGTGCAGTTGGGTGATATATGATCCTCACGTCCGCATCGGTAGCATACTATCTTGCGTTCAGACCGTTTGTTGTTAGTTATCTTGTCATGCTGCTCTCCATCAGGTGCATTCGCAGCATCTACACCTGATCGAAATCCGATTTCTGTTGGAATGTGTGTCCCGGCATTCGGGCCTTCACATTTCCTCCGTTTTCGGATTGTTGGTTATTGTTCCTATTACCGTTACCCTTGGGCTTGTTTTTCTGCTCTGCTGCATAATTTTCAAGGAGTGCGTAAGCATCATCAACGGTTTGTGGGATATGATYGGTACCCTTTGTGAAGTCATTCTTCAAATCGCGTCTGCACTCGGCGTATCGGTCTCCTGCTTGTTTCATGAAAACTAGTGCAAAGAACTGGTCTTCGACTCTCTCGTTGATGTCTGCTGCATAGTCCTTGTATGCTTGGGTCTTCGTTCCCATTTCTTCCTTGAGTTTCTTTTCAAGGAGGTAGTCCTTGTGTTCTTTGGACACAAGGTTGATACCAGCCAGTTTTGCTGCCTTACGCTTTTCCGTGAAGTGCTCGTAGTAATCAGACAGGGTCATGTTCGAACCGGACATGGTCATGATGGTATAGAGACTCTCCACATGTCTCGTAGGGAAATGATCGATGGTGTGTGCTTTATTGCATACATCGCTGATCAATGCGAATAAGGCCGGTGAATCCTTCACTGACTCAATGTTGGTGAAAGTCTTCTCGGATCTGAGTTTGCTTCTCAACGATGAAGTCGTTTGTCCCCAGATGATCGCGTAGCATGAGGATAAGTTCCTCTTCAGTAGGGCAAGCGCCTCATTGTATCTCTTCATTTCGATCTTCCATTGTTCTTGTTCCCAAAATGGAAGATTGTCAAACTCTGTCTTTGTTGCGTGTTTCACCGGATGAGTAATTCCTAGGAGGGTCACTTTTCCTTTTTCAATGGATGTCGCTTCACTCATGGTGTATTTCTTGCCAATGTATGTGAGTAATTTCTCCTTCGAAGTTAGCCACTTTGCATCCATTCCCTTCCCGTAGATAAAGATGTGGTTCTCAAGACCAGCGGTTTCGCCCTGAAAGCGCTTCTTAGAGTCGTTGTTGTTCTTGTTGTTTTGCGTCTTTCCGGACTGCTGTCCTGCCTTGACCTTGTTGCTCCATGTAGTCTTTGACTTGCCATGCTCATCCGTCGTCGTGCCAGTCTTGTCGGTGTATGAGCTGCTCTTCAGGATAGAGTCCTTGGCGATGGTCACACTCTTGTTGTTGGTTTTGTTGTCGCTCATTGTGGAAGTCCTTCTTCTCTTGATGCGAAAGAAATAAAATGGAAATAGTATCGTAGTGAGTCCTTTTCACGAATAATACAATTACCTGTTGAAAATCCCTTTTCTTGTGTTTATGTTATACAGTAATCTCGCGGCTATCACTTCACTAAATGATGAATGTGTAGATAGAGGAGATGTATTGAATATGTATGTTATTGATAGATTTCTAAGTTGGTAAACACAAGAAAAGTGAGATCAATCTTGTTCTTGGGTTTTCTTGATAATCTGGCTCTCGTGGCCTTTCTCTTTGGATTTATTATTTCCCAGGTTTGTTCTGTCCTGTAACGGATTATTTTTGATCGTGCGCGAGCCTGTCATTCTCTGTCTGTCATGCGTACGCTCTCCAACAATAACCTCTCCTTTTCTGCTCATTCATTTCTCTCTTCATTGTATACAACAAAATGTAAAGCACTCCAAACCAGAATATAAACTATCAAACAGACCATCATATTTTCCAACATAGCGGTGGTAAAAAAATCATATTATCATGATGGATTATGATGCTGCTGATGATTCGTCTTTCTTCTCTGATGGTGCTGATGATGATTGTTCCTACGATGGCTGGTACTACTAGTAGTAGTGGTGATGCAAGCCTATCTGACAACTCTAGTGGTGGTATGCACCCTCAAAACAACCACCCCAAATTCTTGGGACTTGTCTTGAGGATGGTGGTGGTAGTATCATTTATGCTCCCAGCATGGTCAGCAGCAGGAATACAACAATGAGGAGCAAGAACGGATTTGGCTTTGTTAGACAATATATTCATTTTCTTGGTGACAACATGAGCCAAGTTGCTAATCATACTGACAACCCACTCTACAAATCCAGACTGCCATGGAGAAAATTGCTGATTGTCTTTATTTTGGGTGACATGCAAATAGTACTGCTGGCCTGTCTGTTGATCAGTCTAGTATGATTGTTTACAAAGGAAGATCCATTTGTTTTGTCCAGTATCTTCTCAGCAAGAAGCCAAGAATCAACCATGGTATTAGGGTGTACTGCCTGTGTGGTGCTGACACTGGGTACTTACTAATTACCTTTGAGATCTACACTGGTATTAGTAGTAGTAGTTGGTCTGGATGGAATATTATTCAGTGGTTGGCATGTCAATCCAATCTAGGACAAGATAAAGGCCATTGATTGTTAATTGACAACTTCTACACTACAATTAAAGTTGTGACCAAGTTATTGTATGGGGAAAAATTTGCAATCCAGTCTTGTTACTACATTCTTTAATTAAAATATTTAGACATAAATACAACATTATAACACTCTGACCCCCACATGTAGTACTAACAATTCCTTTCTTTACTGGCTTTGGATTCATGTGCCTATCATTCTTAAGCATTCTTTGGGGACCAAGATACAGCTGTTAGAATGAGTGGACCCTTACTTAATTTTCTATGTGTATTTTGTATTTTGTGTGGATTTTGGGCCATCTCTTTTATCATGTAACAATGACTCATGGGATTAAAAAATTCAAGCCAAAAATATATGTTAAAGTAACAATTGCAAAACTATTTGGTCCCACAACTATGGGATTCAAAAATTCAGCATGTGCCTGGCTGCAAACTGCAGTACACGTCAATATTTTTGTCAACAAAGTAGTCATCACACACAAAAATAAGGGCCCAAAATCTACAACTGGATTGTAAATCTGTCCACCACCAACCCTCCTATACAATAAGAAGAACACAGATGGGGATCAGCTTGAACCATTGTCTAGATAAAGAAGAGGGTCAGTTCATGCAAAGCAGAAGATTTCCCATTTCCAAAGCTATCTAGTGGTGCAGTTGGTGGAAAGGTGGAACCAGAATGGATGTAGTGGTATGCCACACAGTCAATGACTGGACCAAGCAATTACAAATGTGTTGTACAGACCACCACCACTAGTATGTGGAGGGACAAAAGGGTGGTTACATACTGTGGATGTTACAGTGGTAAGCAAGAAGTAGAGACACAGAGAAGATGTTCCAGAGGGCAAATGATAGCAAAGAAATTTGATACTCCAGAGGTACAGAAGATATATTTCACAAGGTTCAATGGTGTTCTTAGACAAGGATAGTGCAAAGTATTCTATATCACTTTGCACAAACAGATGGTACCTTTTTATTCTCTTCTGGTTGCTTGATAGAGTTGTACACTTCCTTCTACATAATTGCCACTAGTACTAGCCTTGGATGTGGCAAGTTTCTTAGGAAGGAATGGAAGATAGTATACTACAAATCAAAGCACAACAGTAGGAAAAAGTTTCAATCTCATCTTGACATTGCATTGATGAGCAGAGATATTGAAATGGACTGAAAAGTTCCATGCTAAGCAAGAGTTGTGGAACTTCAAAGAATGTATTACCACCCTTGTGATTATGGAATTTGTTTCATTCATGTGAACAAAGTGACCAGTATCACCATTGCTCATAGAAAGGTAACTTCAAAGCCACAGGAAGAAAGGTACAATGGAAAGTATGGAGGAGTGAAGGGAAGCAATTGTGTTGTCTGTGTAGAAGAAGCAAAGCATAGGTATCCTAACACATCAGTGAGGAGGAGATTGAGGAAGTTGCAAGGGATTAGTCTGAAAATGTCAATGAATTGTTGCTGATTTTGCAATGTTACTTTATGCAACAAAGAGCATTAGAGAGTCACTTCAACATCAGGTGTAGTGATGTGTTTTAAAAGAATAGGACAATTTAGAAGGTACTCCTTCTTACAGGTACTTTTCCACCATTTATCCTTCAATATTGAGAATTACTACTCCTAGTAGTAGTACTGGTGGCTATTGGTAATAGTAGTATTGCGCAGCATGTTACTAAAAACTATTTAACACTTCTATCAGAGGAATTAATTCAGGAAAGCCAATGATGCTCCAGAACAACAAGTCAGTATGCAAGCAAACACCTTTAAGCCAATAGATGGTTGCTGGTTCTCTCAAACTAGTAATGATGAAAGTGTTAGTCCTAGTAGTAGTTCCTTCAATGAACTTCAGGCAGAATTTTTTGATAATATGGATGTGATATATGATCAAGGTCACACCATATATTTTACAGAGAGGAAGAATAGTAAGCTGAAAATTTATACTGGTGCAAGGGGTGGCACCTCCCTCCAAAGGGTATTGGTGGAGGCACAACTGGTAAGTACAGAGTATTTTGGGTTAGCGAAGGCAATGAGTGCAGTATCCAGCCTTACTACTACTATAGAGGAGGGACATGTTTGAGACACCTTCTTAGTAGAGAAAGGATCATAGACATGATTATCAATGATGATGCAAACAGGATGTTGCTTAGATGGAGGGGCATTGGGAGTATAGAGACTGAGGACCACCAGGTGYTTGTGACGTCTCTCCTCGGAGAACAATAGCAAGGCATAATGATCATGAAAAAGCTTGTCAATGGTGATACATCAATGATCAAGATGCTGCTGTGTAGACAGTGGGATATGGTTGTAGGGTTGGATACTTGGGGCTTGAGTTGTCAGATATCAATTTTTGGAAACAACAGCATGGTGGTGGGAAGGAGAGGACATTCTTTCTGCTGTTGCTGCTGGAGGAACACCACCAGCGGGCGGATGATCATCATCATGAGGCAACAAACTGCCAGCAGCAGCTGGGGAGGACAGGAAAGGGGTGTTGATAATGGTTGTGTCATCTACTACTTTTCCGGTCTTGGCACTCACTTATTGTCTTGCACCAGAGTAGTAGTAACTGTGTGGGATAGAAGCCCCATTGGACTACTAGTACTAGTGAGAGCATCACAGACTGGTGGTACCGTTTGTGAGTATGGTTTGGGTCTAAACTAGTCTTCAGAGTTAATCTTCAGAGTTAACGGTGGGCCCTGATAACGAGTACGTACGTACGAGTATCTTACGTACCATAATACTTATTCGTACGATACTCTTACAATCAATAGACGCTCTTTTTTGTATCGTTTCCTCGAGACACCAAAGAAACTAGTAATAAAGTACAGTACAAAGTAATGCTGATGATCGTGTTCAATCGGAGGCTAACAAACACAACGGCGTCTCATTCCATCACTACCGAACTACCCTACAAAGCTTGGGTAATGTCTCTCGCATACCAACGAACTAGCGAACCAATCACCAACAAACGCAGCACAAACATTATTTAACACTACACTAAGTCCGAAATGGTGAAGAAAGAAGGAGACTATTCGAATACCTCTCGTCGTAGTACTGTTATTTTGTTCTTCGTTGGAGCTATCGTTGTGCCTTTTGCAGCTGCCATTGTCCCTATGGTGATGAGGCCCAACAAACTTGTTTCTGAACAGCAGCGGAATCAGAATTCTTTATTTTTTCTCGCCGTGGGTGTATCTGCTGCCCTGGGTTTGGCACTGTATTTGTATCATGACAAGAAACAACAAACTGTTGTAGACGACAACAACGGCGACAAAGACCGAGACGACGGAATTAGCGCTCCCAAACAGCCGACTGCTGCTGCAAAGCCAAAAGATATTTGGAAAGTAGGGGCGAACAACCAAAATGTTTTGAAGAAACCAAAAGCAGCGTACAACGAAAAGCCGTTTGGCAGCAGCTACTACTACGCTCACAACGATGCCAACACGACCGGGGGTTACAAGGATGGTTTGAAAATGGAGGATTATCGTATGAACGGACCTCGTTTGCTCAGCGTTAACGGACTATCGGTGAGCGATGACGATGATCAAGGAGGCGACAACAATGGCGAGGCAAATGAAGAGGTCGCTGCAGTTGCAGAGAACACCGTCCCTGCCAAGAAGAGGATTACTGCACAAGATCCCAATATGAAGAACATCACAAAGTATTTGTGGGATGATTCCGGTAACGGAAAAGGAATTGCTACTATTCGTGTAGATGTCTTACCGGGTGACAAGCTAGGAGAATTTGTTGACTGGAAGGACGTCGATATCAAAGACGTCACCGCGACGCTGCCAGGCGAAGGTCTTCTGGCGAAGATTATTGTTGGCGAAAACGACATGCCTACCTACCAGCTCAGAATCGATAAACTTTACGGCGATGCCGCCGATGTCAAGGTCATCATCAAGCCGAAGCGGTTGCTTATCAAARTTTACAAGAAGAAGCACGGTTTTCTGTCCAAAAACGACAACAATTTGGCGGCCTGGCCCCAACCACATAGGAAAATATAATGCATAGAAACGGCGCAGATAACAGATGTCAAAAGAAAAAGAAGTAGCTATATGTGGTTCGAATCCGATATGTTTGGATGATGTCATATAAATTTGTGCTCAGAAAATGCCGCATTGACACGCACGCGTGATTTCAACGTGTTCGTTTCAAGTTTTGAAGAGAAGATGATTTGTACGAACGTCATCCATTAAATGTTGTTTCTGATAAGGGCATTGCAATGATAGCATTCCAACCCCCAGAAATATTTTCTACGAAATTACTAATCAGCAATAATTCGGTTGATTGCTGATTCTTGTTTTTCTTTGTCATCGCTCAGCTATCATACTATTCATTCGGAGCAGGTGGATGCAGAGAATTTTCTTTATATCGTCCAATGACAAATGAATTGAATGAATCATCATGATTTTCAAACTTGAGATATATCTTAGACGCTGAAGCACATAATGATTCAGTCGTTCATTGATTGATTCACTCAACTGTTCATGATCGTAGTTGTGTTGTTATCGATGATTAGGACAGGTGATTGATGGATGAATCAATTTCTCAATCGACCGGTTCTATTCGTTCTTCTTTCGTTGATGACGCATAGTGACACGACCTCAAAAACTCCTTGCTAAAAACACCTATCATCAGTAAAAAATCATGAGTGTGAGTTTAAAATTCTACTTTCCGTACCGTACATAGTCGTATCTCACAATACCGTTTCCTACTATCGTACGGTACAAATACGTTTATGACCTCTAACTCATAGGTCCACCTCGCCTTCCATGCGCGCTATGCGCGCTTGGTTTAAGATAACGTGCCGTTCAGCTGTTGTTGACACACTCCATCTTTTTGCTGGTCCACGTAAGATTTTCTTGAATTAACAACGTTAATGTATTAAAGCCCTAACGTTAGCGGATAACGTTAACTTCCCGTCTTTCTGACGTCTTCGTCAGTAGTGAGGAAATATGCAGTTGTCCCACGATGCGACAAGAAGAGAAGAGTTGCCACCGAAGTACAAGTACAGGTGGGTATTCGTAGAGTTCCGTAGAGGCTCGCTTTTCCTGTTACGTCTCCTTCCTTCTACCGGTAAGGCGCGGCATCAATAGGATGATGAAGTCCCATCTGAGAAAGCACCAACAGCTGGATCAAAATTCTTCCTTTTCAATCTACGGCTTGCTTCTTTGAACACAATTGAATTGCCAAATCCAGACAACATATTGAACACACAGACTTGGTCACAAAGTTAAGAGACAAGGATCAAAAACATACCATCCTAAGTAGAAAAACTTCACTTGAGAAAAGTATTCTTCACCATGACGAACACTGCAAGAATAACATCCAGTCGGCGACGTCCACGAAATTCAGCGACTAAGAAAACGGATTGCCTTCGACTCCCATCGCTTGTGCTTCTTCTCTTGTCAATCTCCCAATTTGAACTTTCTAGCTCGTTCGGGTTGAACAACCCTTCCACACGGGGTCCGGGGTTCAAAACAGTATCATCGTCGACAGCAGCGAGGAAAGGAAGTACGTCGTCATCGCTGTTACGGAGAGGTTCTCTCGAACGCACACGGTCTTGCAGCAGCAACATCATCAAGAGCAGCCCATCTGCTCTCAACGTGTGGTGGTTTGGGGGCGATCAAAACGAACCGCAGAACGACGACGAATCGTGTGAGTTGGTGGCCGTTCGTATCGAACGACCGACCTCGAACTCAAGAAAGATTGCGGGCGAGCTCTCTATTCCCGGTGTGACAGTGGAAGATGCATGGTCCATTCTGACTGACTACAACCGACTTTCTATTCACGTGCCAAACCTAAAAGAATCACGCATTGTACGAGAATACCCGAGCATTGCATTTTCTGGAGGACAGAGTGAACCGGGAGACGGCTCGTACAAATGTCAGCTCTACCAGGTTGGCGCACAAAAGATCATTGGCTTCGACTTCTCGGCATCGGTTACAATGGACATGACGGAGGAATTTCTATCTGCGTCGACCTCAAATGCTCGCAAGATTTTCTTTAAGTGTGCGGACAGCCAGTTCTTCTCGACGTTCGACGGAGCATGGACGGTCCAGGAACAACGTAACTCCGTTACAGGAGAAAAAGAGGTACTTTGCTCCTACGACGTTTTGGTCAAGCCAAAAGGTCCAGTCCCGGTTGCAGCTCTAGAGTGGAGAATTCGAGAAGACGTGCCTACAAATCTTCGGGCAGTGAAGGCTGCAACCATGGCCAAGGTCGGTGTCTCCTCGTCGACGGAACTGGCCACCGTCGGTGCAGCCCCTGAAGCGAATGGCACAAAGTCGAGAGGACAAAACGGGTCAAGCCGGCTGCAGAATGCTTCTAACGGCGTTCCAACTATGCGGATGGGGGCCCGACGCCAACGCCAACTTGCTGCCGTCATGGTAGACTGGGAACGCGGTGAAACCATGGCGAAGTATTTGGAGTAGAATACACCACATGCTTCTCAGAAAGTGAACAACGCGAATGGATACATTCCACGTAACAATAGGATAAAACTCGAAGAAACTATAATTTTGAATTTTTTCTGTGGAATGTTGAAAATCAACTATAGTTTTGGCGCAGCAACGAGCCTCTCATCAGAGGCAAGGTATACTGGCGAAGACATTCTCTGGATGAAGAGCATTCGGAAGATGACAAAGCCAGACCTTGTGGTCAAATAAAATTCTTAGGAAATACTGTAATTTGCAAACCAACAAAAATCTGTCGCTGCCTCATGGGATTGCAGCTACACTGTTGAATCACAGTGGAAGGTCGTCTAGATTCTTCTGGGTCGACATAAGACAAACTATTTCGAAATTGAACACAATGTAGTATCGTAGTTTAGTAGCACTTTGTGGGGTTAAAGGTCATCGAATGCCTGTTTTTCATCGAATTCGGAGGGCATAAGCAAGTTATTTCTACCATGGCCAAGAAAGGATGCCTACTGTCACTTCAAAATAAACTCTAGTTGAGTGAAATTGTTTGTATTTAGAGATTAAAAAAGGCTAGAATCTTACAATTCTTGATTTTCTTTACAATATTTTTCTTGTGATACAAAATTACATACTGTACAAGGTGATGATGTACAAAGGCTAATTCAGACAAATACTGATATAGTGGACACCCTGCGAATACAGCTCCCATATTCCCTTACAGCGTCGGCGTTCCTGGCTTTCTAGGACAAAATAGATCCATTATTCATTTCTCAATCGATTTCCGTTGGACCTGTACTCGATTCCTCATTCGACGGCGTTGCTTCAACATCAATGCCTGCAGATGTTGGATGCTCGGGTTGATCTTGTTGCAATAAAGGTTCTGCCAACGCCTCTAAACCAGAGCTACCACCAGTAGTTCGGTTTCGCCAGTATGGACTGCGAAAGATGGCTCTCAACCATGATCCTATTGAATGATCTATGGTAGATGCGTCCTCATTCATATCTGGTTCTACCTGTGTCGTCGGTGCTGAGCCATTGCGTGCCTGTCGTTCGTTATTCGTGTACTCGTCTTCCTCGCCCTCGCTATTGTCATCAACTTCTTCTTCGTACAAATCAAGGTTGCACAATGGACAAGTCGCAGACCTCTCAACCAACCATTTCGAAATACACTCAGCATGAAACACATGTCCACACGGCAAACAACATAATTTATCTCCTATCTGATAGTCGTCGAGGCAAATTGTGCATGTATCCATAGAATTTATTGTGGGCTGAGGAAAGTTCTTGTCATTTGAGTGCTGCAAAATATGATCGCAGCAATATTCTCCCACTCCATTTGCAGTCGGATTTTCTTCATCATAAACCAGTTTGTTTCCGTCGAAAATCCCAACGTGAAGTTCTCTTACTTGGTCGGTAGTTAATCGTTGCCGCCTTGGTCGACGAAGTGGTGCAGGTTCAGGTTCTTGGTTCTCCAGAAGGTCCTCAAGCGCTGCTGCCATACAGCAGCAGAGAATTAAACAAATTACAATTGAAACAGCCGTCCATACAATAATCACAGCTCCGGTCAAAGGAGGAGAGACTGCATCAACTGTAACACGTGTTCCTCCTGCATTCCTCACATCGATATCCTCATCAAGTATTGTTTCGATAAGTTCGTATCCAGTCCGATATGAAACGTGTAACAGTGCTACCGAGATGTCGTCTTCGTGCTCCCTTCTCAGAGTCGTTTTTTTCTCGTCATCTGTGTTGTAGTATGAAGGAAACTCGAAACTTGACAAATGGTTGTTCTCTCCGAGATCATCCTCCCCACCTTTATCGTCCTCGATCTCTGAGCCGAATGCGTACCCTTCATCATCTGCATCATTGATTCGAATTTCTCCATCAATTATGAGGATTTTGACAACTCCCTTTGGATGGATGTTCCGAGACGCAAACTCTGCCTTCTGAGCGAACGAACACATTCCTTTCTTAACTACCACCGCAACTGAAAAGAGGACGAAAATGATTGGATTACATTTCGTTCAATCCAATAAGATCCAGGATTGCAAAGAAGGAAAAATGTATCAATGTTGTGTTGAGAACTGAAGCGACATTCTTTCTGTTTTATGGTAGAACATGCCCAGAAAATAAACGTACCTGGTAGACCATCACTTGGCACCGTCACATTCCAACTGCCCTTCCCACAAAAATGATCAGCTCCATTGACTCGCTGTAATCTGGCTTCATATTCGAGCCCTTCTTTCATCTGTAATCCAATGTATTTGTCGTTTCGAGATTGATATTCTTTTCCAAGGTCGACAACTCGAATAGATGCATGAACATATGAAAACTGGTACGTGCAAAATAGGAAAAGTATTTTAAATATGGAAAACGACCTAGAGGAGAGAGCGCAAAACATCATCGATATGCTGCGGTTTATTCGAAATAAACGCTGAAAACGATTTCTGTAGCCAGAAACTTAGTCTTTTGCTGTTGCAACAAGGTATTTTTGGTACCATTGATGCTTGTTCTAGCGCTTTCGTCGATATGAATAAACTAGAATGCTGTCATCTCATGTTCCTTTGTCACATTTTTTTCGATACTGTAAAAAACACCTCTCTTAATTCAGTTCTGTAAAAAATTACTAGCCGTGGCAATTTGCTATTGTAATAATTTCACAGAAAATCTATTCCTGGTTCTTTTTCACGATTGTTTGTCAGCGCAACATATGTTGCGGTCGCGCCTTAAAAACAAAAAAGGAGGTCCGGTTTCAAAATTTTGGTGAGATTGTGGGGATAATACGGTATGCTTTTCGACACAATTCAGTAGGGTATGACACACTCGTATGTCCAAGTACTGATGATGACGGTACGCATGTTGTACGTTCAATTTTGACACCGGTATTTATTTTATTTTATTTGAGTCTTTTCTTTACTACCGATAGTACAGGACTTTACAATAAGATTACTAGTAGTAGGATTAGGTACACCTACGTACATGTAAAACGAGAGATCGGCTCACAACGACAACCATTGAAAGGAATTCTCTTCCCTCTATCAAATTCCATAAATTGGAAAAATGTACGAAGCCGAACCAACGAAGTAGGCAATGCAAGATGAACATAACCATGTGAAGAAAAATCACTGAGGGTCAAGCAGACCTACCAGGACAGTTCCAAAACGTCTGTTTCAGTGCAATTGTACGTAAGTTGYATTTCTGTTTGCATGAACATGCTTGAATGTACCTCGAACAAAGGGCATACAAGAGATCTCAAAGCGATTGGGAAAGCATCTTCCATATCATAAATCATATGATGAGTAATTTGCAATCATCATGGGTAAAATTGGATCGATGCGAGAGTAACCATTGGGGGGTTCGTTAGCAATGGATTCGATTATATACGTTCAAGTGCTAGTAGGCCCTCCACATCGATTTTTGTCCAGTTCTCTGCGAGCTCACAAAAAGTTGAATTGCTTTTTTTGTTATATAGTAACAGCACATTGACAACCAAATACTGCCATGTCCTGGAGAACATTCCCACGAAAGAACACAACGTGTACGTAGATTTCGTTAGTTTTTTTGTCGTATCATACACATTAAGATAAGAGTGCATCCTTTTTCGGTTACGTGCCTTTCTTCTTCGGAAGATCATTTTTCACGCACGATATTACCTTCATGCGGATGCTAGAACAAATGCCAGGGTTTATTAGCGGGTTGATCAACGATATTTCAGTCGATATAAGGATATTGGAAAATGCTGATGAACCGTTACAGTTTTTGTAATTTTCATCTCAAGGTGTTCTCTGATATTTCTTCCCACGATTGCTCGTCAGTGCTCTAATCAACATTCCCCTTCGTGACGTGGTATTATACCTTGTATGGGTAATCTGTATTTCTCATCAAGTTATTGTTTTTCGTTTTCTTGAACTTTCTCGGATGAAGACGCTTCTGATTGACGAAATTTCCAGTTTCATTTTCGTTGTCACCACTCTTATCGATAAACAGAGACTAATTTTAGTTCGTCTACTGCTAAGTCGACTAGTATGGCATCAACTGCTAGAAATTGCCTGGTTGAAGAAGGTCTGACTACACGCTATTTTTGCTACACTTTGCAGTTGAAGGGTTGGGAAATAAAAACACGATCATTGTGTTCTCTCAACGATCCCAGTTTGGATGTGCTGTTATTGCCAAAAACGCATTTCATTGCAACAAGTCCTTTTTAACTGAAATAGAACGGTCGACGTCTGAACTGAAGCACTTGCAAAGGATTTTTTCTGACATTCGATCTACACCCACTACATTAGTTTGGAGATATATTGCACACTTTGCACAAAGTAGGGTAATGAGCTCATTAGGCCGATATATTATCCTCTTTTCTTCATTCTGATTGAATTTGATTAGCATTTTTTCCCATCATATAACGATGGATACGAGTACATGAAGTCATTTTACATTAGAATCTCATACACAATTGGAGCCATAGGTGCTGCACGCTCGAAAAAAGGTGAGTTGATATATAACTCCCAACCGATGAGTAAGAAAATGCCAATCCATGCTGTTGAATTGTTTTAAAAAAAGAAACAGAGACAATGCTGAGTATTTGGTTTCATCAATCTGAGACTAAGAGTTGAAAGTTGTTTGATTTTAGTCCCTTACCTCCTTGTTCTAGAATTTTAATAGCGCTCACTTCACCCTTTTCGTTCAGAAACTGAGGAAAKTTTTCAAGGAAGGATTTTTCTTCTTCCTCTGCCTCCCTCGCGGCAATTGCATTAGCTACACGCTCGGCCCGTCTTTGTTTCTTCTTTCCAACACCAGCAGTCATCGAAGGATCATCCGGAGAATATGTTGGTGTCGTGGAAGACGCCTGCGCCAAATCCACAAAATCTGGGATGCTAGCATCTCCGTTGTCGTCGAATTCAAGCTTGCTTTCCAGAGCACGATCGGAAATCAACTCGTCGACTGTTTTTGATCCGGAGCTGCCACTTCCCATCATGTTCGCAGTGATTTCATCGGGATTGACTTTTTTCTTTGGTTTCTCTTTTTCTTCTTCTTCTTCGCCCAAATCAAATTCAGGAAGTTCGCCCGGGCCGAGTGTTTCATCGAATGAAGACAAGTCTTCAACGTCCTCCGTTTGTTCGTTTGACGGCGTAGCGGTGTTGTCTTTTCGCCGGCGACGTCTCTTCTTTTTCGCGGACAAGGCCAGAAAATCGGATTCTCTTAGCGGCAAATTGAAGTTTGACAATCCTCGTTCATTATGCGTTTGTCGATGGGAGCCGTGAGTTGCGCTCGGGAGGAAAAATGCCTGACTCAGACACACGGCAACAGACAACAGAAGAGAGGATGCTAGTAGCGATCTCGTTTGACAGATGGCAATCATTTCGAATTTTCCGAGGTGTTTTCGAGGACAAGGTATATCGGTACGATGACCGATCGGCTCTACTAAGGTTGCTTCGAGCTGCTGATCGTTAATAATTGTCCCCCGGATTGAATTCTATTCAAGCGTCCCCGAGGGTAGAGTTATTCGATTATTCGATATTCAGTACGGTACCGTACGGTACGTGCTGTACACTGTAGACTCCTTCATGAACATAAACATCGGATAGGATTTTGTTCAACGAAAATCTGATGACTGATGACAACGTTTATTCAAAAGGGGTGGGTAGGAAACTATTTTTTTGTTGAAAAAATCTCTATTTTATAACTCGTGTGAGCAAGAGATTATAATCCCTGACAGTTGTTGTATCGATTGGCTCGCCAACGCAAATACTTTAGTTTTTAACAACTAAGGGAAGTGCAAGGGTGAAAAGAACTATTATTTTTGGTCTAGGTACTACATCCTAACTTGTTTGCAAAAACTGGGATACTGGGTCCTCTCAAATGGATTCTACACTGCTGAAAACAAGTTTGTTTCTTCTGTTTCTCCCTGAAGTCCAAAACAGTGAGAGTTCTTCAACAAGGTCAGTGTTTCCTGTGCACAAGTGAAAAGTGGTGGTCCAGTGCGCCATCGTAGCCAACAGCAACTCAGTGGTGCCAACAAAAACCTAAAATCAATTTTCCACAATTTCAACCCCTTTGTTGTTCATTACTAGTACTAGAAACACATTGATTAGCTGACTTTTGTCTTGTTTGACATACTACTACTACTACTAGGCTGATGTGATGCAATGATGGTATGGTGGACATGCCAAAAGTGCTGTTACAGAAGCAGCACGAGGACAACGACTGGTGCCATGTGCCATGGTAGGACAATCAGCCTCGCAAGTAGGCTGAGCCAGGGCGCTCTCATTGGAATTTAATATGAGATCAGGCTGGAACTCCCATTTTAAATTATTTTCTTCCAGTCACAGCCATTAATTAATCTTGTTGAATCTTCACTTATTTTAAACAAAACGTTTTATGAACAAAACTAGTAATTAATAACGTAACGCCTTGTTGCAAGGTGCAAACATACAACTATCCTGCCTAGTGACTATTTTTACTAGTGGATGCAGGTTGAACAAGTGCTCTCAATGCCTTTTTTAGACATCCAATATTGTAATTGATCAAACTCTTCTTGCGGAAATTCTCGGCGCGGGTTATGCACACCAGAGCCAGCATTGTGTCTACCTCTTTCAGATACAATACCTGACCAAAAGAAAAAAATATCCGTGAGCTGTATGGAAGAAGAGGACTTACTTCAAAGAATTTTTGGAACAATGTGCCATGTCCGTAGGAAGGAACCCATCACAAGAAAAATCGCGAGACTATCGTGGTATATACTCACCATTCCATTACTGAGACGAATGACACTCGCACTTTTGCAGTCGTAGGCCGAATCCGGATCGACCATGTCCACTTCCGAGTCTTCCGCCGGTGCTTGTTTTATCAGAGTTCCGACCAATTCGTCCCCGTTTTGTATCTGTTTCTGCTGCGTCTGGTCGCTGCTCTGTTTGTTTTCGATTGAGCTCGTGGTTTCTTCGCTGGTGTTGCCCATCTCGTAATGGGAGGGTCCAAGTCCATAAATCCCGCTTACGTCCAGCACCACATCAATCATGTCGGAGCAGAGTTCTACGCTCTGCATGTCCACCGGTCCAGGATCAGTACTGATGTACAGTTTGGATACTACATCGAACAAATACGCTTTCTCCATGGAACACGTGCTCACTAGAACGTTCAACAGGTTCTCGAGCGTTGGCAACTGTGGTATCAACCGCTGAACAACCCTGGACAGTGCTTCGTATATCGAGTGATCATAGATGCTGGTCAGGTGGTAGCGGATGTGAATGTTGTCGGGGCTCACCCCGGCATCTGTCAGTTCGTCCGTGACCTGCGTCATGATATCTCTGCGGCAGTCGTATTTGCTCTCGTCGCTCAGGAACAGTTCTCCGTCTACCTTGTTGATAAAAACCTCGATGACGATGTTGGGATTCAGCGCGAGTGCCTTCGTGACGGCATTGGTGAAACTCTGCAGGACGTGATCGTAGGGTTCGTCCTGGGCGTCCACCACGAATATTAACGACGTGGGTGCCCCGCCGCCCTCGAACACACTGTTGTTGATTTCGTCGTCGTCTCCTCCGTAATAATCACCGGGGAAGTCCCACACGGTAAATCGGCAGAGTGGTGTGTGGTCTACAACGGCCCGCTCCAGCTGCTGCGTAGCTTCCAATCGAAACAACGTCTCGTGGGGTGACATCTTCTGAAACACGACTCTCTTTGTATTGTCAAAAGGAAGGTGGAATCATTGGAATTATTTATTGTTGATTGCGTTCGTTTCGTTTCGTTTCGTTTCGTTTCGTTTAGTTTTGTTTTGTTTCATGGCATTCGGTTGTTGCGCATTCCGTAGGTTTGTTTTGCACAACGATTTACGCATTGTTAGTAAAGACGCACGAACAAACAAATTGTGTAAAACGCACAAGTCGATTCGTCCGCTGAGGCCCAAGGGACGAGAGCTCGAGCAATCACGGCACGAACACAAAATCAAATCTATTCGTGCGGAGCACAGACATACAGGGCAAGAGTGCTGTCCCCGACCGATCGGCAAACAAGAGCGAAGAGCACCGTTCGTACCTGAATGCTGGTTTTGCCGCCTCGCCTGGGGCCCATGAGAAGAATCCGGGGGAGACTCGCGATCTTTGGATCGCGAAAGTCGATGGACGATGCGCCGTTTTCCGCCGTTCCTCCGAATCCGTCTTGGGAACMCCCCAGCAGCTGCCCCGGTGACGATCCTCCCATTTCTCCCGCTCCCTCCACGATCAGCATGCCGTCCGCGTCGACGTCGTCCTGCCGCCCGATGAGAGCATCTTGCTGCTGGTAGTCGCTGTAGTCGTCGTACGCGCTGCTGTATCCACCGGATTGCATCATATCTCCTCTGCCCTCGGATTCGAGACGGACAAACTAACTTTATGGGACTCTTGGCAGACAATTGGCGACGCACGCAGTCTCGAGTCTCAACAGAGCAGCAAGGCGGTTTGTTTCGGTGTCTGTGTCGATGAATGGCATCAACACTGCGCACCGATTTTCAATGATTCGAGCAATCATCTCTGATCGCAATCACAAGCGATGAAGAGATGTTCACGTCGGCTGGGTTTGGGTTTCTCCCCCGAATTTGTTGAATTGAACCAAGCGACAATTTCCAGCAGTCCCCATCGAACGACTCTCGTAGTACGGTAGTACTCGTAGAATGCGTACGGTACAGAACAAGTTCTTGTACGTAATGTAGCCTACCGTCTGGTACCTACCCTATGGCACTGTACCGTACGTATTACGCTCCATAAACCTTCATTTTACATTGACTATTAAATCCTGGGGAAAAAATAATTTGGGGGTGATTCCAGCGTTTTGAACATGGCGGAAACCCATCCGCATTCAGTTTCCTGTCTCGCTCTTTTTTGTTGGTGTTAGAGTTACGGTACGGTAGGTTTGTTTGTTTGTTGTTACAGTTATTTTATTTTTTGTCAAAAACTTGAGTTCCAGGACCAATGGACAATCCATAATCCATAACGCTAACTCGACACACCGAATTTGTGCTCCTCAGCCTGGCTAGAAAAGGATCTGTACACACAATGGCTTTCTGATTCTGCACTCACTACAGGCGTCCATCGAGTCCCAACACGAACCAATTTCTTTCTTCGGCGTGGTTTGTGTTGTTGTTGTGCACGACAATGCCCGACGAAGAAAGCAAAGACGCTTCCGGGGCTGCTGCGGAGAACGGGGACCACGGGAGAACACGGCGGAGAGACCTGGAGGAAATCATCTCCCGCTGCCTGGAAAAATCCATCCGYGAGCTGCACAGCGACTACTACGCCGCCCACAAGGATCGCCTCCGGCAGGTGGTCCGGAAATCGCTGTCCTTTCCGAGGGACGGTCGCAGGGGCACCCAAGCGAGCAAGGGGAACAACGGGAAGCCGCACGACGCCGAGACCCGGATCGCGCTCACCCTTTACCACCAGTGGAAGCGCGAGGCCGCGGCCCGGCCCGACCCGGAGCAAGCACCGGCGGCAGCGGCCGGGGAAACCGGTCGGGGGGAGGATCCGCTCCAAGCCGGCCGACCACCGGCGCTTTCGCCGGCCCGTGGCGCAATGGTCACGATCACCTCCGACCTGGGGCTGGAGCGGGAGGTGTCCTCCCCGCGGCAGCTGGCCGATCTGCTCTGCCCCCTGCTCGAAGAAGAGTTTCGAAACCACCCGCAGTGGAAGATGGCCCCGGACGTTCGATCGCAGCCGTCCGGGATCGTGTCCATGATGTCTCTGGAACGGTCGGAGCTGCTGCGACAAGCCGGAAGGTTGCCGTGTCCCCACTGCATCCAGTGGTGCAGAGGAGAAAAGGTAGGTGGAYTGCCAAGCGATTGAATTGGATCGGATCGGTTCCTTGGCAGAGCGTCTTGCAAATCGCGTGCTAGGAACCCGAATCCGAATCGGAACCCGAAGCGGTTGTGCTTGGAACGGAGGTATTTCGTGAATTCACGGCTTTTGTTTTGCGTTGCTTGCCCGCACCATCGATCCTGTACGACACACCTTACTCGCACGCCCACAGGGACTCTGGTGGCACCAGCAACAATACCATCGATTGGAATATGCAASCGCGACGAACGTAGCCCAGGCCACTTCCATCGGCACGGGGGCCATGGTTGTCTACGACGAAAACCTTTGGAAAGACAGAGCAAACAAAACGAACAAAACAGGAGGCAGCGCCGGTACTGGTTGCACTGCATCTTTGTCTGCTTCCGCGGCATCGACGGCCGCACCTGCCGGTAGCAGCGACGGCAAAGGGGTCGTTCGATCCGGTTCCGGCAAAGATCCCATCGACCACGTCCGAGAAGGAAACCTGGAGGGCTTGAAAAACGCGGTAGAGAACCACGGTTACCGGCCCTCCCGGGTGTTCGACGAGAAGGGTTCCACCCCTTTGCTGTGGGCGGCGGGGGGCGGGCACCTGGACATCACCCGGTACCTCGTAGAGGTTTGCGGCTGCGATCCGTGCCAGTCGCAGCGGGGGAAACGGTCGTTTTGGGGCCGCACCGCCCTGCACTGGGCCTCTCGCAACGGCCACCTGGAGGTCGTGCAATACCTCTTGTCTCTGGCGACCGGCGGCAGCAACGACGACGACGGCGGCAACTGCAACAGGGACAACGACAACGACAACAGGGACAACGACGACGGCCCGGAGCGGAGCCCGCGCTCGGTGCCACTGGGGMAGCTGCTCGAGGCCAAGACCGGGGACGGCACCACCGCCTTTGGGTGGGCCTGCTGGCAGCGCCACCTCCCGGTCATGGAGTGCCTGTACGGGCACGGCTGCGACATCCACGGCAGGAACAGCTACGGGTGTTCCCCCGTCCTGTGGTGCAGCCAGGGCAAGGGGCCGAACGGCCTGGGGGCCCTGCAGTGGCTCCGGGACAGGGGCTGCGACCTCCTGCTGGTCAACCACAACGGCCACGGCGTCCTCCACAAGGCCGCCCAGCGGGGGCAGGCGGAGGTCGCGGAGTGGCTGGTCCGGTCCGAGTGCTCCGGCCTGCTGGGAGGGGRGGAAAGCAGCGGRGGCCGGCGCAAGGACAAGGACCAGAGCCGAGACCGGACCGCCGCACTGCTGGCCCTGGTCGGCCCCGACGCCGAGGGCTACTGCCCGTCGGACCTGGCGGGCATGGAGGGCCATTGGGACCTCGCGGTGTGGCTCGCGGACGCGGAGGTGGGGGTCTGCCTCGGCCTGGGAGAAGCCCCGCCCCTTCCGGGGGGGAGCGAGGCCGTTTCCTGCGCCGGTGCGGCTCGGGCCTGGGAGAAGCACGGCGGCCTGCGGCGCATGAGGTCGGCCCTGGACCGGCCGTCGCGGTAGGGGCCCGTGGCGTGGGCCGTGCGAGACGACCGCTGGCTACRGTACTGCACCGGTGCGTACTCGCAGAAAGGRCAGAGCATTCGTGTCGTTTTGTAGGACATCCGGGGCTTGGGTGTGTAAAWTGAAATGAAATGCAATGAAATGAAACAAAACATCGTTTTCTATTCGTATGGGTAGTCCTATATGTGCAGTGTGTATGTATACAGTACCACGGGTTGGTACAGGCTCGGGTATATTCTAATGGGTTGCCTGGTTGGTTTGGTGGTTTCGTGGTGKGTGTGTGCGCGGGTGCTGGTGCTGGTCGGTCACCCGTAGCAGCGGATCGTGTCGCGGCAGCCCTTCCGGGCCGCCTGTCCCCCCTTGTAGAGGTACTGCTGGTGGTGTTCCTCGGCGCTGTAAAAGACCGTGGCCGGGAGGAGCTCGATGTCGCAGTACCGGCTGTCCCGGATCGAGGCAATGTAGTCCCCGGCCAGGCGTTTCTGCTCCTCGCCGTGGAAGTAGATCCCGTGCCTGTACTGAGACTCCGGGGGCGACGCCGGCGATGCGCCATCGGTCTCGCCATCGGTCTCGCCATCGGCCTCCCCGCCGTCCTCTTCCGCAAAGAGGTCGAGCCGAAAGTACTCGGGTGCCGTGACCGCCAGCCGCTCGTCGTAGACCTTGAGTATGTCCCCGTAGGACACGACGCGCGGATCGTAGACGACCAGGACGGCCTCGCGGTGGCCCGTGGTGCCCTCCTTGATGGCCTCGTAGGTGGGATCGKCCAGGCTTCCCTGCGAGTAGCCGGCCCTCGTCCCCACGACGCCGGGGGTCCTCATCAGGGCCAGCTCGACGCCCCAGAAGCAGCCCATGGCGAGCGTGGCGASCCGAAAGGGCGAAAGCTTTTCGGTGGCGGTGTCCGCGGTGGTCGGTTCGTTCCGTGGAACCTCGAGGGACCCCGACGGGAAGCGATCGATGCGCTTCAGGGTGAGGTTGCAGAGGTAGCTGGTTCCCGCCAGCGGGTGGTTGGCGTCCACGGTGATCGTGTCCCCCGTCACCTCCAGAACGCTCACCTGGATCCCCCCCTGGAGGTTGAGGGTCATCCCGGGAGCGATCCGGTCGACGTTCTGGACCTTCTTGAGGTTCGCCTTGGGGACCTTGATCACCATTTCGGGGTTGTGCCTCCCAAAACCGGCGTCTACCGACACGTTCTCGATCGATTCCCCCTCCGACATGCCCTCCAGCAGCTCGTGCAGCCCGGGGAGGTAGTTCCCCCACCCGAGGACGAGGGTCAGCTCGCCCGAGGCGTCAAAGAGGGGCTCCGGGACAAAGCCGTCCTCCGGGGCCAGGTCGACCTCGATCGTGACCACGTCGCCGGTGGTGGCGGTGTTTCTGCCGTGGGAGTCGTCCGGGACGATGCTCCGGATGGATTGCAGGGGGCGCTTCTTTCGCGCCTGCTGCGGGGCGGTCGCACCGGGCGCCATGGCGAGGAAGCCTGTTTTGGTCTGGGGGGCCCCGGKTTCGGGCTTGGGCGGCAGGGTTCTGCGGAAGGGATTCGTTGCCCTGGTGCTAGTGATACTCCTAGTGATACTGATACTCCTAGTGCTAGTGGTAACGGAGGGACTGTGAAAGGAATCAGCAATTGTGGCGAGGTGGCTCAGAGACGCAACGAGAAGGACTTGCAAGCSCATTGTTTGTTGCTGCTATGGTTCCTTATGGACCGAAGGAGGTGCAATTGCATTCCTACACTGCGGCACTTCTTGTACCMGTTTCTGTGCGAAAGGACAAAAGACGACTCACTCGTGCCCATAGCATACGGTACGGTACCGTTTGTTGGTGGTACACTTTTACGAAGCAGAGTACAGTACAGTACAGTACTCGTGTACCTGCGGGTCACGTGCCGGAGGTACGGCAACCAAAGATTTTCGATTTTTCSATGATGTGCGAACGCTGCCTGACACTCGTGCTGATTTCGAGTGATGCGGCAGCATCAGAGAAGAAGCGTTTTCGGTGAGTGGCGCAGAGAGAAAAAGAGAGAGAGAGGGAGCATACCCGCGCGGCGCGTTGGCGTTACTATGTGCTGTGCTGTTTTGTACCGGTAGCAAACCACCGAACGCAATTTCGTAATGCGTTCTTCGTTTCATAAGTAATGATCGAGTACAGTAATGATCGAAAACACGCGAACACCTCCCCGTTTCGAATCACACCCTCCGGGCCCCGTAGTTCGTGGGATACGAGATACGACTCTCTCGTCCCGCAACCATCAAAACAACGATCACGAAAAATATAAACAGTAAACTTGAAAGCAATACGGTACGTACCGTGTTCCAAACTACGAGTACCCGTCCGTACGTACCGTATCGTTCGGTACCTACGTTACCCGTACCGTACCTACCGTACCGCACGCCATCCCGGAAATGCATCTGCTTGCGGKGCGGCGGTGCTTTGAGTCCCGTCGTTGTTCTCTCACCGATAACTCGCCGGACCAAACCARAAGCCCAGATCTGGGGCTTAAACAAAAGAGGCGAGACGGGACTGGATGGCAGCGGCACACCGCAAGTCTCGCCTTCCACCGCTGGAACTACGACCTCGTACCATGCTTACCATACTCGTACGTACCCCAATCCCTAAAACAGTTGACTCACTCGTTTTGGACGACGAGGAGAAGACGAACAGCCGACAAAAACAGGTGTGTGTGTCTGTGTGCGTGTGTCATCTGTCATCTGTCATCGCAGCAACACAACCTGCGACAACGAGTCTGACCATCAACCGTTTTGTTTGGCCTGCTTTCCCTGGTCCTTTGGCCAAAACCAGCATTCTTTTCTTCTTGTTCTTCTTGTTTTATTTTCTGTCACCACATATTACAACTCTACTAGGACTAGCACTATTATGGCAACACCCACTACTACGAAGCTAATATTATGAAGTCTGTAGGCTATAGTAAGAATCGTTACTAACAAGAACAATCTTCTTAGTATGCAGCAGTCTTATTTGGACAGCACCACTACTACTAGTAGTAGTACTACTAGTAGTACTACCAGAGGAGCCAAATATTGTTGCTTGGGCACATACTTGGGTGCATGCAGTTTTCATGTGGGTTTTTCAACTTTTGAGCTGGAGAACAGATGTGAAGAGAAAAATAGTGCAGTGTGTAGTATGGTGCAAATAATTTCACTCTTGATTTCAATGCACCTCCTGATTTCCTCTTTTCCTTGCTATTCTCATTCTTGTTCTCTTCTTACCATTCAACTGACTAAGAAGACAGAGGCTTCTTTGCTCTTGAAGAAGCCTTCTTCTTTGCACCTCAAGTGACTCATTGACTTTACTCCTCTTAGTAAGGGATCATGGCTTCTTGCTTGTTGACAATCAACCAACATATTGATGATGGTGTGTCTTGATGTGTCCTCTCTTTGTGCCTTGATTTGCTTTTGCTTGTTTTAACTCACTAAAGCAAATCAACAAACAGCAACCAAGATGGTAACTGATCTTGTGGAGCTCCTTGAAGCAACAGATACAGCAAGAAATACTGCAATTGATCAGCAAATGATACAGCAGATATGACAAGCAATACAGCAAGCAACAATACAGTGAGTGATGATACAGCAAGCGGTGATACTACTACAATCAATACTACAAGTGATACTGCAAACGATACTGCTACAAGTGAATCCTTCTCTACTCCACCAAGAAAGCTCAGCAAGAACTTGACCAACAACCAGAGACTAGTAGCTATTGTTCAGGATCTTTTGCAACACAAGATATGTAGCCCCAAGGGGTTGACTCTTGCAAGAGGAGCACTGAAAGAAGTAGCAGAGATGTACAATGTCTCATCTAGGACAATTGCAAGAATTTGGAGGCTGTACAAGAAGACTGTTGATCCTGCCTGTCACTTGCCCTGCTGGTGATGTGTTCTCAAGAAAACGCAACTCAGGTCGGAAACCCATTAGAACTTCCTCAGATCTGGATGTATTGAAGACTCTTCCTCCTAAGAATTGTGGTGATTTACAAAGTCTTTCAGCTACAACACCAGGAATTCCAAAGACCTCCCTCCTTGTCTATCTAGTCAAGCATGGTCAAATCAAAAAGCACAATGGATCAGCGAAGCCTCTACTACTTACTGGTGCTGCAACAAATAAGCTCCAGAGAGTAGTAGTAGAGTGGATCATGAGCCATACTGATAGGAGCAGAAACTTTGACAACAACTCAAACTACTATGTATCTGTTTGCAGATGAAGAGGAGCCAAAGTCTACATCAAAGTCAAAAAATCATAGCCAAGGTCGTCCTCAGATCATCATCCAAGAGGACAACCCAAAGCCACAGCATAAGCCTTCTGTCAGAGCTGATGTTGCTACTAATGCTACAGCAAGTGAAGATTGGGATATTCAGGTTAAGACTCAGCCACCAAATAGTCCTGATTTAAATGTTCTGGATCTTGGTTTCTTCAACTCAATTCAAAGCTTGCAGTGTAAGAAATGTTCTTCCAAAGATATTGATCATTTGATTGCCAATGTTGTTGAAAAGGCATTTGATGAGGCTACTAAATGGGAAACACTCAACAATGTCTTCTATCTGCTCTCCAGGCTTGTATGCAAGCTTCACTTGGTGTTGCAGGTGACAACAATTACAAGATTCCTCATATGGGAAAGTGAGTCTCATGCTTCAAGGGGCTCTCCCCATTTCAAATACTTGCAATGCTACTACTAGTCACATCATGATCGCTGGACAGCAAATGCTTGCTATTGCTGGCTGCTGCAGAACAAGAACAGCAGGCCACYGCAGCTAGCAACTAGTAACAATCATAGTGGTAGTAACAAGTAGTTAAATTAATAGTAATGTTTCTCAAATAAGTATCTGGTACTGAATGCTGTACACAACAAGAATCCTACATCATAGGCCCAACTCAACCACAGCAACAAGGACAATCTTTCAGGACCAGTACAATAGGGTCACAATGATACATTTAGTGTACCAGAGGAAGTACTAGTACTAGTACTAGTACTACTAGTAGTAATACTACCACCAGTACTCCTAGTACTAGTAGTAGTAGTAGTACTAGTACTAGTAGTACTAGGTCGTCGTCATTGCTGAATCCTCCTCTCCACGACAAACTTGTTGTTGTTTCTTGTTGCTGCTGATCAAATGCACAAAGCAAAAATAATCTTGTTTAGTTGTTGCTGAGATCAACAATATGAAAAAATATAACAAGTACTGAAGAAGTGGGTGCTACTTGTAGTAAAGTATCTACTACTAGTACTACTACCAACTACCAATTTTTTTCAAAATTAAAATTTAAAAATTTTAAAATGTGCCTAGAAATTATTAAAAGTCATGCCCGTAACGATGGATGCCGTATTTACATGGGTTTGTTTTCATCTTGAAGGTCATCGTTTTAGGTTTTCACAATAAAAGTATTTTTGCGTATTTTTTTTGCGTACGTACCAGTACTTCCAGTACACACCATGCATGTTTGACAGCAGACTTCTTGGCACTTTCTGTTCTTCATACGGTACAGTGCCTTGAAAATAAATCGAAATCCGTTGTGTTGTCATTTCTCTTCCGCTGGCGAGACAAGAAGAGCGGCGTTGAAAGGGGATACAGGGAGCGACCCACAGCAGGAAGTCGGAAGACAACCATGGTGGACGATTCGAAACTACGGCTGCGGGCACGGCGGGCTTTTCACATGGAGGAAGGCCACGTTGTGCACAACACGACGACTCCCAGCAACCGAAGCTCGGACAACCTAAGAAATCTCGACGCAAGCGTGGGCAAGATCCATGGACGCGTCAAGCGAAGGAGGCGTCGAATGGTTTTCTATAGGGCCTGTCGGCTGCTCCTCGGGGGACTAGCCGCGGCTGTGATTACCGCCACGCTTTCCATCTGGCTGTTGCCATTTTCGTGGACGCAAGTGGATTACCACCACCAATTGCAGCACGAGGTTCAATATGTATACCAAAAACTCCACGACAACAGGCGAAATTTTCACAGCGTCGTCGATAATTTCCATCCCAATCACCACCTCCATCACACCAACAAAAACAACGACAACTCGGTAAAAGTGCACCCAAAGAAACGAAAACAAAACGAGGAAGACCGCCACTACGCCCGACTCGAGGATGAAAGTCCTCTGGGCGACGAAAAAGAAGAAATAGTGGTTGGGCCGGTCAACGATCGGGAAGTGAAACGACACTTGCGGCGGCCATCGACCAAGGCCCCACACGAAAACACAGCCGCAAAGAACGACCAAGCCGACGAGACCCAAAACGCAATGCCGGAAATCGTTACTTGTGGAGACGGAACGGTCGGCTTCAAAAACGACGATTATTGCGATTGTTTGCAGGATGGTCTGGACGAACCCGACACATCCGCGTGTTCCCATGTCTTGGCGCAGCAGGCRAWATTTGTCTGTGGTCGCCGCCACCAAACCAACGAACAAGACCCTCACGATGATCCTGCAGAGATGAACAAGAAGGCAGTGAAGTGGATTTATGCCTCACGGGTCAACGACGGGATCCTCGATTGCCCGGATGGAAGCGACGAATACGACCACACCACATCAAACCATGCGCAAGATGGCTAGTTCTRTACTTCGGTCAAAATGAACCACAGAATAAAGCAAAGGCCCAGTCCCCGCGACAGCCAAGAGACAGACAATGACGCAGGTGCCAGGCAAAACTACACCCTACTGTAAATACGGGATGTGCCAGCACGCCTTTACTTTGTGAAGAAGGAACTCGTCTCTCTCCTAGCCATCGGCAGGAGTCGCTATAGCAGATAACATCCCAGTGGCAATTACAACAAATCAATAGAAACGGAATCCCAAGGTTCATGTCCGATCCCGTGAACGAAGTTCCTGCAACGCCCAGGAAAAACAAAGGTATCAGCGTTCATCAAGCAACATTTCCTTTTTTGGTAGCGAGCAAAGAATCAGCAGGAAAGGTCTCTGGGTGGTCTACTAGATGTGGACGTTTAGGTAGTTGTACTACAGTGCTCACTTTTTCTCGTCGCTGACCGGGAATCAATCGTCAACCTGTTTCAAAAGGCATTCGACAGAAAACAGTCAATGATGACTCAAGCAATAATAGGTGGAGATACAGTTGAAAATTCCAAGCACTAGCTAGATAATTATTAAGGCAACTAGCATTCTACTGTTTGCTCGCTTTCCGACTGTTTTTGACGAAAACCCAGTGCAAAAAACCAGAATTGCTCGGTGTATTTTCATCTRCGAAAGCCATCAACCCCTGTGTGAGCTTTCCCTGTCTTACCCAAAGCAAATAAAACCAAATTGCGAATCCTGTATGCTACGGTATGTCCGTGTCAAACAMACGTTCCCTGMGTTCGGTGGCTGKATGTGCACGYGATCGGCCACGCCCGGTGATTGTACAAGGCGGAGGCATCCCGCACGGAGGCGCAACGCGCGGCTAGGCCACTACGAGATGATCCTCAGCATCGTGCTCTTGATGAGGTCCAGGATTTCGTCGATGGCGGCCTCCGGCAGGCGGGAGAGGGAGGGTATGAGGGCATAGGCTTCTTCTACAGTCGTGTCCGCAATGACCAGGTTCATGAGCGCTGCTACCTCAAAGCCGTGGAGCTCCAGCTCGTCCCCGTCGTCGGTCTCCTTCCGAAAGGTCGTCAGGGCGTCCTGCAGGTTGTCCAGCTCCTCCACCAGTTCTGGGGGCGGCGGGCGGCGCGGACGATGTCATTCGCAGGCAGAAAGGCGGAAACAAGGGGGTTGAGGGAGCGAACTCTTCAAAAATGGACAGAGTTGCTTTTGCAGAGACAACTACCGCAAGGCGCTGCGCAGGCCATGTTTCAACAAAATGCTTACCCTGGTGATCCTTTTCCTTGTTGGACATTTGGTTGAATCGCTCGACGTACTTTTGCGTCTTTCGGTASACCTCGTTGAGTTCCTCGTCTTTGGTTACGGCTTGCCCCGCACTGACCTGGAGGATCACCGCCACTTGTGCTGTGTCGAGCGGAGTGAAGTCGAGCACGTCAATCAAGTCGCGTCGAGTCGAGTCGAGTCAAAAGGAATCGGTGAAATGACGGAAAAGAAAAAGGGGTTAGAATTGTTGCTGTTTGAACAGAAACAGAAACAGAAACAGGAAACTGGTGGATCAATCGTCATCCGCAAAAAGGTTTCATTGTTGCAGTCGCATCCGTACATCGCATTCACTGGCCAAAATCGAATCGTATTGAATGGTATCCAATCCAACTATTAAAAGCCTGCCGTCTTCTATCGTTCCGTACCATTCGACAAGATGTGGATGTCGTCAAAGTGGGCTCCAAATTTCCGCTCGGCCGCGTTCTCTTCGATCCCCGATTCCGCCATGGTGTGCTGTATCTAGTTCGTTGCTGATAAGGCAATCAAGATGGCTCTGAAAGAAACACACGTGGGTATGGGCACCTCCGCACAAGGTACCTTTTTCTGTTGGAAGCGGTTCGATTGCTTGCCCTGCGGTACGGTACTCGTACGGTTGCGAATCCGTGTTTCGTACTGCACGATGTTTGTGTTGTCCGTGCCGTTATTGCACAGTTTTAATGCCTCAATCAGTCCACAATCCACAATCCACAACACCGATCGTGATGGAATGTGCTGTAAAACCCTACGGCATAACGGTGGGACGTACGGACGTATGGTACGAGAAATAGGTCCGATGTCGACCGCATCGTACAGTGCTACTGTAGTCTTCTTTGGTAGTTTCGGTATGCATGAAGTGCCGAAGGATGCTGTTCTTTACTACGAGTACAGTACATACGGAATCGTATCGTACATACAGGAGGTAGTGCTAATGGCAACCTAGACGCCCAACGCCCACACACCTATCCTACATCTGCATCCATCAAACACGACACGACACGACACGACACGACACGACACGACCGATCTTATTTTTTTTATTTTTCCGATTGCTTTCGATCCTTGATCGCCGGGCAGTCCCTTAGCTTGTAGAACTTGCTCCCAGTGCTTCCACCACAGCAGGCGTTCGTTGCCGCCATGGCCGATCCAGCAGAAGGAACCCCCGATGCAGGCACCGAAGCGAACCACCGCAAGAGGCGCAAGCGGGAGCCCCTGCGGATCGGTTTGCTCGGATGCGGTGCGATCAACAGCACCGTGGCCAAAATGATCGCCAACCAGCAGGCCGGGCCTTCGGTTCTCGCGGCAATCCTGGTGCGGAGGGAGCGGTCCGAGGAGGAAGTCCGTTCCGTGCTCACGGACGATTCGTCGCCACCAATCGCACCACCAAAAAGCCAAGAACCCAGGGCCGCGGCGGCGGCTGCCGTTCGGTGCACCACGGACGCCGACGAGTTTTTTGCGGCCGGTTCCGATTGGAACATCTGCATCGAAGCCGCGGGGCAGGCAGCCGTGCGGGAGCACGGAAAGAGGTGCCTCGAGATGGGCAGGGACCTGATGATCACCTCCATCGGAGCCCTGACGGACGAAACCCTGTACCGCGACCTGCGGTCCGCGGCGGAATCCAGCGGCGCCCGCCTCGTCCTCTGCACGGGATCCATGCCGGCCCTGGACTGGATGGGGGCGGCCGCCCTGGCCGGCTGCGGGGAGGTCTTGGTCACGCAGATCAAGCCGCCGGGGGCGTGGTTGGGGACCCCCGCGGAAAACGACCACCCCGACCTCCTCTCCCTCTCGGAGCCCAGGGTCCTCTTCGAGGGATCCTCACGGGAGGCCGCGTCCACCTTTCCCAAGAACGCCAACGTCGCCGCGATGCTCGCCCTGGCGACGGCCGGCCTCGACGCCACCAGGGCGAGCCTCGTCGCGGATCCAAGGGCCGGGGGCAACCGCGTCTTGCTCTCCTTCCGGGGTGCCGCGGGGACCATAGCGGTGGAGGTGGAGGCGGCTCCCTCGAAAACGAATCCACGGACGTCCGCGATCGTGGCCCTCTCGGTCGTCAAGGCCATCCGGAAGCTGTGCTGCCCCGTCGTCGTGGGTCTGTAGGCGGCGGAGCAAGGGCTGGTTTGGTTCCGCGGCACACCAAACCGGGCACAAAGGGCAATGTTGCACGCTGCAATGCCTTGCRAACTACGGTACGGTGCATTGCCATCCATCGAGGACACAACGTTTGTTGTTTTCCTTCCGACGAGACACGGATGCCGAAAGGAGCTCTTCGTTGCACATCAATAATGTATTTTACTAGAAGTTATGTTGTGGTATTCATACAGGGATCTGGGTGTACAAATTCTAGTCTGAGCTTGGCGTTTTTCGTTTTTCGCCATCTTGCGTGGTTCGTTCTCCCGAGGCAACCGCGTTTTTTCGGTGGAGAGATACGTTTTGTCCCATTGGTGCTCGGACACACATGGCATGTTATGTTATACTATGAACTTTGAAAATCGGCCTCGGGTCGGGCAGAGGCCACCGCACTCCGTGGTCCGGCGGGGAAGGGAACCTACAGCATGACCGACTCGTACCGCCGTTCGGCTTCCTCCTTGTCCCGCCGGCTCTCCAGGGTCGAGCGGTGTTCGGTGAAGGAGTGGTTTGGGTCCGTCTTGACAAAGACSGGYCCCGGCCGGTCCCGGGCCGACCCGCAGAGCTTGCAGGAGGGGTTGGCGCAGGTCCCGTAGTCGTGCCCCGGGCCCTCCGTCCGGACCCGGTAGCCGGCCGGGAGGGACTCCTGCCCGAAGAGCGAGGCGTCGTCGACGACGCAGCGGGCGCGGTCGAGGGAGGGGTCGTCCTCCGCGTCCAGGGCCAGTCCGTCGATGCACCGGGCGTGCTCCAGGAAGGCCTTCCGGTTCTTCCTCCTCCGGGCCGCGACGAAAAAGACGGCCAGGAGGAGCGCGAGGGCGCCGGCCACGACGAGGACCAGGCCCGCGAGGGTGTTGAACTTCTTGCCCTCGTCCACCGCGTAGGCCGTCCCCATAAAGGCGGAGGTGAGGTCGACGCCCATCCCCGTCTGCTGGTGGGTCGCAAAGAGGTCCCAGTTCAGGCCGTCGACGTTGGTGTAGCCGGCAAAGGAGGCCCCGGTGAGGTTGGCGGAAGCAAGGGGGGCCCCGCCCTCCCCGGTGCCCATCTCGGCAAAGGCCTCCTCCATCCAGTTGGTGAACCCCAGAAAGGCCTCCCGGTCCCCAAAGGGGGTGCTGGATCCGGGCGCCGTGAGGCGCCGGCGGGGGGAAAACCACATGGTGGCCTCCACCCTCCCGCTGCCCTCGTAGCAGACCGTGGGAGTGGTGGTGGTGGTGGCGTTCGAGGTGCCCCCGTCTCCGTCGCCGCGTTCCGTCCGGCACTCGCCGGCGACGAAAAAGTCCGTGGCGTTGGACGTGAGGGAGACCATYGTGTGCTTGTAGGTGATAAAGTCGCTCCCCCGGCAGCCCATTCCCAGGTCGACGAGGGATTCGTGCAGCATCGGCTCGATCGAGGAGCCCAGGGCGTCCCGGACGGCCTCGGTCATTCCCGCCGTCCCTTCGGTGCTCTCGTCCGCCGCGAAATAGAGGCGGTAGTCGATGTCCAGGACCTCCGAGACGTAGGTCCCGATGGTGGGGAACTCGACGCAGGACGACTCGGTGGCACCGGTCTCCTCGTTGAGGATCGTGGCCACCGAGTCGGCGTTGCCTTCGTTGTCGCTGGTGCCGTCGTTGGTRGTGGTGGCGGTGCTTCCGCTGCTGTCGCTGTCGCTGCCTTCCTTGCTCGGGTCCTCGACCGCCCTCGCAACGGGGGCCGGGGTGAAGACCGCCGCGAACGGTCCGGGGGTCGGTGCCGCAAACGGTCCGGGGGTCGGTGCCACCGCCGCCGCTGTTTCGACGGGGGAAGCCGTGGGGGAGGCGGTCGTGGCCCGTATCGTCGGAGCCCCGGTCGGTGGGACGGTTGGGGGGACGGTGGGAGTCGCCGTTGGAGCCCCGGTGGGTGTCCCCGTTGGAGTACCCGTTGGAGTACCCGTTGGCATTCCGGTGGGGACTCCGGTGGGCGTGCCGGTCGGGGGTTCCGTCGCACCGGAGGAGGGTCCCGTGATGTCGATCACGGGGCCAAAGTCGCTSGGGTCTCTCCACGGCGGAACGTAGTCCCCCTCCCAGTTCCTCTTGGTCTTTTCGGTGGCCCTTCCGTCKCCGCCGTCGCCGATCCCAAAGTCGTCCGCGGTTCTGCGGCGCCTCTGCGCGCCGCGGACCTTTCCCTGCGGGTGCCGCTGTTGCTGCAAATGTTGTTGCTGCAGCCGATCTTTGCCGGTGTGGGCRTTCCCCTTTGGCAGTCCCAGGAGCGCTACCGATGCGGTGACCGCGGTGGCCACGGTCGCTCTGATCAGAGGCGCCATGGTCTGCTTCTGTTGTGTCCTTTGGTGTGCTGCTCGCTGCGTCTACTTTGTTGTATTGGATTGGATTGGATTGGATTCGGTTCGTTTCGAGTCGGCTCGATTCGATTCGATTTGGTTTGCCGTCGCTTCAATGGATAGATCCGGTGCGGTGCGGTACTGCGGTCGTGCTAGCCGTTGGCGGGTGGGACGGGTGGTTGCTGCGATTCGCGCTTTTGCTTTCTGTGGGGTTCTCCACTGGTTTGTTGGATCGAACCTGCGTTGTTTGCGGGGAYGGAGAAAGCCTATATGGATTCGTCGAGGAAGCACCGTTCCGCGAGATCCTTTCCTGGTACCGTACGGTAGGTTCTGTATCGGAATGGAGGGGAGTGCTTCCGCTCTGCTCTGCTGCCGGGTGYCGGTTTTGTTTCTGTTTTCTGTTTCGCCAACTTCGTCGTGTTCTTTTGTGGTCACCCCTCCGTGCCAGTCGCTGCCGACACGCGATTCCCCTTGTGGGTTTGTCAATGGATTGGAAGAAGAAACCGCCTGTTAACCGCAAGTGTGTGTGTATAGCAGCGTGTTTCCTAATTGGAGGAGGGAACGCCGGGTAGGTGCGGAAGGGGAGGGAAGGCATCGCTATGTGGAACAAAGGTGTCGAAACCGGGACGTGGTGGAAGCAGCTTGGACTCACCGACAAGAATACTTAGAACGAGACCGATGGAGCACATGACCAAATTTTCCACGAACGAGCGCGTGCGGGGAGGGGCGAGACCGAACAGATAGCGGGGGGAAAACGCTGGCGTCGCCGAATTCGAGAAACGGAAAAACGCGGGAAGCAAGCCGGGGGGCGGGGTCATTCCGTCGAAAAATTTCGTGGGCTTTTGCTTTCCGTCCGTCCGATACTGGTAACCGGTACCATACCGAACGGTATGSGATGCCTACCGTACCGGGACGAGTTGTACCAGTAGGTAGTACTGCACGGTCCTCTCGTATTGTGTCGAAGGAGTCGAGAAGAATTACGTGCKGTGGCTCTGTTCGTGGTATCATATGTACCATACGTACGTACGTATGAGTATTGTATTTCTTTGGAACTACTTTTCGTGGTGGTATCAACTCGACAATTAGTTCGAATAGCAGAGGCAAGCTAGTAGCTCAAGCCCCTCTCTCCTCTCTTGACTGTGAACATTCCTCCTATGGATCAATCTTGCAATGTTTTACTGGTTACTGCTAGGTAGTAGCATTAGTACTACTAGCATGCCAAGAAGAAGCAATAGTACTACTAGTAGTACTACTAGCAACAATGACTTCTTGGCTCCCCTAATCACATTATCAAGAAGTGTCTTCAGGCCATCGAGCTGTGTGGAGTTTCTGGCATAGGTAACCCTATCAAGACCACCGTCAACACTCACCAGAATACCACCGCGTCATGTGATCAACCAGCAAACAAGACGAAGAACTCCTATACTGCTAGTAGTACTACGGTATGGATGATTCACGCTGTGATTGCTTCGGTCGAACTGAACTGTTCTTCAAGCATACGACAACTATTGAGATCGCTTGATTCTTGAAACAGAGAATTTTTTAGAAAACTATCGTTCCGTGCCCCATTGCCCTATCCTAGATCGAGAATGGCTGCAATTCCAGGAGAAAAGGGTGGCCACCAATGATGATTCAATCGAACTGGTCCCGAGCAGCATCCGTTGTATCAGACATCACATAAAAGAAAGGCCGTCGTTGGAATCGTCCCGGTGTCTGTGCCGTGCCAGCTGAGGGCAAAATGTTGCCCGGCGTTTCGTTTGTTCGATCCGGTCCGATGCGATCCCGACGGTCGCTGGTTCGTTTACTCACTCACTCACTCAMTCACTCACTCCGGACGGCCCTCCTTCGCCAGGTGCACCAGCTGTTTCCGGACCATGGATTCGTAGCTGTCCATCGTCTGCAGCCACCGGATGGGAAACCACCCGTAGGCGTCTTCCGGGGGCCGCGAGCCCGGCGGTCCGTCCACCGCCGGGAGCCGGCAGAGGTTGTACTCCCGGCCGGGACCGACGCCCTCCTCCAGGACCTCTACCACGTCCCCCAGCTCCACGCCCGGGAGGCAGTGGGCGACCCCGCTGGCCTTTCGGACGACGCACCAAAAGAGGACCGGCCGGGCACCGAGGGACGACCAGTCGAAAGGAGGKTCCCCGCTGCYGCCGCCGCCGGTCTGGACGTGGCCCCGCTCCCGCAGCTCGGCCAGGAGGCCGGCCCGGAGCTCCTCGTTCTGCCCCCTGGTCCGGTTCCCGAAGGCTTGGTCGGAGGCCCACCACGCGGCAAACATGAGGGGGGCGATCGCCGCCGAGGCGGCGGCGGGCCACCGCGGGGGCCGTGGCTCGTTGGAAGAATGGTGTTGCTGGTGTTCTTGTTGTTGTTGCGGCTTGGGCCGGGCCCTGTTCCGGGGCCGCTTTGCTCGCTTGGAGGAGGAGGCGGTGCCCATCGATGCGCTTTGCGTCCACGCACCCGTTCGCTGCCGAGGCAGGAGGGGTCTTCCGCTGCCGATGTTGTTGCCGATGTTGTTGCGCGATCGAACCAAAGCAGCGTGGGACCGATGGCAACGACAATGCGTCTCGGAGGCAACGGATACAAACCGCCTCGACGGCAACGGGGACGGCAGCAAAGCCAGTCTCGCGCCAGCGGCTGCACGCAGCATGGTTCTCTATTCTACCCGTATGTGCCGAGAAGGATGCCGAAAACTCTGAACCCCCGGGTCGCGATGCGTGTTGTGTTGTGTTGGTTGGTGGCGCTGGATCTTTGCATCCAACTTCCTATTACTCGTACCTTCCGGTACAGTATCGGTCGTTCCGCGTTGTTCCATCCGGGCTTGCGAGCTTTCGCGAGCTGGAGATTCCAGGATGTCAAGGAGTCTCGGAACAAAGTTTTGCGGCACAGACACCCGACAGTGGATGCGAGTAAAGTAGTACTCGTACGAAGTGGACTGAGGACAGAGGCGTGCTGTACGGTAGGGGTTCACACACACATCATGGCGCGAAACTACGAGCGACGGACGTACCGAACCATACTTTTTCTTTCTTCTTCGTCGTTTACCCGTTCGCTTGCCGTACGGTACGGTAAATGCCGTACGTACCGGTACGTACGTCCTTGACTAGTAGTCCATCCAGTGGTAAATAAAATGTGTCAACTCTTTCTACGTATGGTACGTACCATATGGTACGTACCGTTCCGAATGGATACCGTAGAGTTTCGACCGAATGGAGGGGATCTCTTGCTTGGCTTCCTCAAAGACCACGGCAATASTACAGTAATCGTTTGGGATTAACAAATATCCACTATCCACTGGCAACGGTTTGTCGATGGCAGTCAAGGCAAAGCACAGCAGAGCAAAATTGAACCAACAACCGATCTATCCAACCACCCACACACATAMCCATCCATCCGTTGACCAAAGAATGARTCCCAMCGAACCACCGGGAACGGCCTCCACCGGCGAGGCGTCCAGTGCCGCGGAGCCAAAGACAGATACAAAGACAAACCCTAAAACGGCGACGCCCTCCGAGTCGGACGTCTACGATCGGCAGATCCGCTTGTGGGGCGCCGAGGCCCAGAAAAAGATGCAGAACTCCAGGGTCCTCTACCTCCACGTCACGGGGAGTTCGTCCGAGGTCCTCAAAAACCTCTGCCTGGCGGGAATCCGGGCCGAGATCTGCGATCCCCGGCCGGCCTCGGCCCTCGACGCCTCGCCCTGTTTCTTCACGCATCCCAACCACAAGAGCAAGAGCCAGGGCGACGGCGAAAGCGAAAGCGAACCGGCCAGCAAGAAACCCAAGTACGGATCGGTAGCCCTGGCGGTCCGGCCGCTCGTGGAGGAACTCAACCCCCTCCTGGGATCCTGCCCGATCGTCGACAAGGCCATCTCGGAGCTGACGAGGGAAGACCTAAAGGGGTACACGGTGGTGGTTGCCTCGCAGGTGCCCCTTTCCGAGGTCGTCCGCCTCTCACAGCTGCTGGCGGAGGGCAGCGTCCTTTACACGGTCGACTGCTTCGGGATGAGGGGGGCCTCCATGATCGAGTTTGGCAAGAAGGACTTTTGCTACCGGCCGGAGCAGGGCAAGAAACTCCTGGACCCGACGCCCATCAAGGACTACGTGTCGCTGCCGGACATGGTAAGGGTCCCCCTCCACAAGGCGACCAACCGGTTCCACAAGAAGGGGCCACCGCCGACGTGGATCATGTACCGCGTTCTGATGGAGCACCAGCGACAAACCGGAAAGTGGCTGGGGGACCCTTCGATCGACCCTTGGGAAGCGAAGAAAGCTTCGGAGGGGTTTCTGGCGGGGGAGGGGGTCGCCCTCACCGAAACCGAGCTCGACGACCTGGTCACCGCGGGCGTGGCGCAGGTGCCTCCGGTCTGTGCCGTGCTCGGGGGCATGGTGGGGAACGAGGTCATCAAGATCATCAGCGGAAAGGGAGAACCGGCCAACAACACCCTCCTTTTGGACGGGGGAGCCTGCAAGGCGTGGACCTTTATGGTAAAGGCCAAGGAGACGTAGTACAGTGTAGAAATAGCGACAGACAGRTTCGAACGGAGCAAACGGAATGAAAAGGATCTTTTGCCGTATCGCGTTCTCTATTATTGTATTGTGTTTTGCAAKTTTCTATTGTCTTAGGCATCCAGGGTTGTTTGGTGTGGCTTTGTTTTCTGTTCTTTTGCGTTGCGTTCCTTTGTCCCATCAACCAATCGGAAGCGTTTCCCCCGCAATTTCCAACGGTATCCCAAACACACCGGGTGCCGACGGCATCTCCTCCAGCTCCAGCACCTCCTGCGGCAKGGGACCGGTCAGCGACACGTACAGGTTCATTTCCCGCAGACATACCTCCTCGACCATTTCCTTCAGCACACCGAACCGCTCGGCCCGGATGCCCTCCAGGATCTCCAGGGATTCCTTGGCGGTGGTGAGCGACTTGTGGGACGCGCCGGCGATGCTMAGCTTCATCTCGGCCCGCCGTATTTCTTCCGGGAGGTCCTTCTGGGTCTCGTACAGGAGGTGCTGCCGCTCGACGATCGCAAACCAGTCCAGCAGCTGGCACTTGAGGAGTTCGGGATCGTGGTGTTCCGTGCAGCCCTTTGCAAAGGAGGCGTGGGCGTCGACGTTCAGCGCCGGCTTGTGGTGGGGGGGCGGGGATATCGTCTCCCTGACCAGGGACGAAATGGTGGTCAGCTCGGCCAGGAATTCGTCGATGCGTTCCTCCAGCGAGGCCGAGGCCGTGTACAGCGACATGGGTTTTCGCTCGAAAAACATGGCTCTGGTGCTGGGAAYGTCGTCTCTCGGGACCATGAGGAGATCCAACAGAATGGGTCGGATGCCCGTGGAGGTTTCCGAGCCAGCCTTTCGGCAGAGCGCGTATCCCAGCCGCTGGTTTGCGTTGCGTGAAATGGCGTCGTGATTGTGTCGTGTCGTGTCGTGGAATAGAAAAATTGTGAGCTGCAACGCGTCAAGGCAAAGTCCGCGGACCGTTCGCCCTTTTTTCGACCCTTTGGCGGAATCGGGGGCTGCCKCTCGATCGATCGATGGCATCTGGAACCAAACTTACCCGAACCGTTTCCCGCAGCACGGGCAACTCGTCGACTTCCACGATTCCCGGTACCGCCTCGAGATATACGTTTTTGTGCGCCAGTATCCGTGCAAGCTCCGTGAAGGGGAACAGGGCCTTGCCCACGTCCAGCTCGAGCTTCTCGGCTTCCATTTCGAGCGCCAGCAGCTCGACGAGCTCGGGTGTGTTCAGCAGGGCCTGCAATTCCGCCTTGAGGGCTTCGAGCGAGGATTTTTTTTCCCGGTCGTTTCGTCCCGAATCGGCGTTTTTGTTTCGTTTGAGATAGTGATCGACTAGTTCCATGCGCGGCGCCCGGAGAAGGTTTTGGTGGGCTTCCAAAAACGCCCGAAAGGGCGCTCGGTATTCGCACTTGACCAGGTACAAACGCTTGGTGACCTCCGCTTCCGACTCCATCGCAGATCGAAACTGATACAGCCGAAGAGGCAGGTCGTTCTGTACCAGCTGGACCAAAACACATATCTGCGCTTCCATTTCTTCGTAGGTAGGATCCTTTCCCGTATAGTGCGTATTCCGTCTTCTACCGTGGGATTGCTGCTCGTGCTTCCGCCGCCGGCGATCCGTGTTGTTGTTGYTGCTGCTGTTGTTGTTCCGATTGTTTGCCGCCCTCGACTTGGAACCTGCGTCCCTGCTCTTTTTGTTGCCGTGGGTTTCTTTTCTAAAGATGTGATCGGGATCCGCAGCCGCTGGGTCCTCTTGGTGCTTGAGGACGTAGGAAATCTTCACCAGTGGGTGCTTGTCGAGGCTGCGGACCCACTTCCGGCAGGCCAGGTAGACGTCGTCGGCCCATACGAAATCGGGGCAAAACAGGCGCGGGGATTCCCAGCAGTCTTTCCGGCGCTGCTGGAGCTGCCCCCGCCGGCCCGTCTCCTCCTTGGACAGCAAGATTCCGTTGCGGATTCCCTGGAGGCCCACCCCTACCACGTTGCAGCCGGACGAGGTGTAAAAGAGGTCGTTGCTGTAGATCCCCCCGCCGCCGTGGTTGTGGTGGGCGGCCTGCGCGTTGTTCGCCGCCGACGTCTTGGTGCTCTCGTAGGGATCGCTCAGGTTCGCGGCCGCCGCCAGCCGGTCGGTGCTGAGCCGCTCGATGGCGTTGCAGGCGGCTTCCAGGCACTGCCAGGCCAGRGTTTCGCGGGGGCAGCAATCTCCGTCGGAGGCTCCGATGAACTCCTTTGTCTTGTACAGCTGCAACACGACCTGGGCCTGCCGCTTGATGTCCAGGCAGCAGGCCAGCAGCGCGTGGCTGCTCGTGATGGTGCCGGTCAGCTGGGCCTCCACGGATCGAAAGAGGGCGACATCCAGAAGCGTGATCAATCCGGGCACCGCCTTGAGTGGCAACGGGTTTCCTTCCGTTTGTCCCCTCTTGGAAGGAAAGAGAAACGAAATGATGGAAGACAGCACTGCGTCCGCCATTCTCGGGTCCGAGTACGGTGCGGTGCGGTGCGGTGCAGTCCGGGTGTGATTGGCTTGGCTTGGCTCGGTTTGGACCTGTTTGGCTAGTTCTCGCTTGTTGGGATCGAGCTCGGGTGTTTTGGATCATCGTCGTCCTGATGACAGACGATAGAGGGAGAGCAACATGTCTCCTGTCCCGTGTGGCTTCCTGTCGTACTGCGTCGACTGACGGTCCCGCACTGTACAATACCTTACGGAACGTACCGTACGGTAGGCGAACTCCTTCGTAGTATCGTACTGTAGGGTTAAGGATCGTACTACAGTAAAGAACTACTTCTAATTCGTGCTTATGCCGGGCTTATTTTTGTCATCGGATCGAATCGAAGGGAACTCGAAGGGTGCAGGGGAAATCTCATTTGACGCGAAAACACTGGTGCAAGAACTGTACGTACTTACTCGTACGTGGTAGCGCTGCGGGACTCAACAAAAGCATTGCTTTTAGTCGATGTACCGTGCATACCGGCTACCGGTGGGTACGTACATAGTAGCGGTACCTGTTGAAGGCAACGATACAGTACGTACTGTACTGTGCGAAACGATAAACGATCCAATTGAAGAATCTATTTGCCTCCACCCTCGGCCTCTTGACATTGCACTGCTCATCCTGCAGTTCGAATGGTTCGTAGTCTGACATACAGTAATCGGATTCCACCATACTTTSTTKTTACGATACAAWTTTTTGCTCTGCACCCTGCTTAATAGCTCGAGACGTCAAAGCATGGATCCGTTTGGTGCGAAAACGATTCTATTGGCCACGGCCACGTCCAGTTTTCTGTCGCTGCGGGCGTACAAGCGCAAATCGTTGACGCCGGAGGGATCCGTCGCGGCCTTCGCCGTGGCCTTTTTCTTGGTCGGCAGCGGGCTGCGAGGCATGAACCTGCTCACCTTTTACTTCATTTCCATGAAGGCCACCAAATACAAGGTGCGTTTGTTTYGTCTCGTTTCGTTTCGTTTCGGTACTATCGGACGTGGAGTGGAAACAAAACCCATTGATACAGTAGATCGATTGGCTTGTTTGTGCGTTTGTTGCTCACTCGCACTGTGACGCCTTGAACCCATCGCAACCCTGGCGGTGTTTGGAATGCCGTGGGTTTGGCACCCCGCCGCACCGCACCGCATCCGTTCGAAAAAAAAAAACCGGCCGTGCCCTCCGCAGAAGGAAATCAAGAAAACGATCGACGGAACGATTGCCTCGCACGAGGGAAGCACGACGCGCGGAACGAGCCAGGTCCTGGCGTGCTCGTTGCTGGCCACCATTCTCAGCGTGGTCCATGCGTTCTACTGCGGACCCGAGCGCGCCGTGGTCTTCCCGCAAGACGGCGGCGACGGGGCGCTGTTGCTGTCGTCCCGGTTGACCTGCGGGATCCTRGCGCACCACGCGACGTGCCTGGCCGACACGCTGGCGAGCGAAATGGGGATACTGAGCCGATCGCCCCCGAGGCTGATCACCCAGCCCTGGAAGACGGTGCCCTCGGGCACGAACGGAGGGGTCACCCCGACGGGCTTCTTCTGGAGCGCCGCGGGTGGAGCGATCATCGGTCTCTCGACCCTACTGCTGGACGGCATTTCGGGAATCGGGGGCGCCGGTCCGTTCTACGCCGCTCGGATGGTCCTGTATTCGCTCGCGTGCGGCCTGGTGGGCTCCGTGCTGGATTCGCTGCTGGGGGCCACGGTGCAGCAGTCCTATGTCGACCCCGACACCAAAATGGTCTACCAGGAGGAMGACCGTCGGCCGAAGTCCACGAAATTGGTGGTTGGCCATTCCGTGAACCTGCTGACAAACGAACTGGTCAACCTGGTGAGCGTCGCCATCACAACGCTGCTGGGAGCTACCGTGATTGGGCCACTTTTTTTCTGAGACGAGGAATCACCAGGAAATGATTCGATGCAATCTTGGGATTGAAGTCGAGCCAGTCGACGATGGGATCCGCGGTCGATCGAAGCCACGAAGTTGAGACGATCCCGATTTCCTTTCCTTCGTATGTTGGGGACAATTGCATCTTTCATTCTGAAATACCGTGGCGCAGTCCAACTTGGAGTTAGTTATTGTTCTACAATCGAGAGACTATCTTGCCTACATTACAGCTGACGAACATACATGCTAAACGCAACGCCACGTAACGGAACGCAACGCAATTGCCAGGGTTGGCGTCGAGAATAGTTATTTTGTACTTGRTCGTAGTGTAGCGATAGCGATAGTCTATGGCTTGGCGTCCAATAAACCTAATCTAGGCGACCTCAACCTCCGTGTGCCTCTGGGGATGAATTTTTTTCTCAGTCGAGGCGAAACAGAAAATCTGTATGCAACTCGACGTCATTCTCTCTTCCCCATAGAACCAAAGAGGTTTGAAGGCAGCAAACTCTAGTTGATGGCGGCCAGAATCGAATCGATGTCGGCATTGTCTCCKACCTTTGAGTCGTAGTATTCAAATATGGGTTCCGATCCCCGGAAAATAAATGTACCACCTTGTCGCAGGGTGTCTTTCGCATTGGGTGGAGCRAGATTCTGAAAACCAACATTGTCGACAGCGTTCTTGTACGAGTTTCCGAGCTCCTCGAGGGCTTCCTTGTCGTTTCGTTCCATCATCTGGTTTACGGCGGGGGGGTTCCACATGGTCTTGATTCCCTTTTCCAGGGTGAGTGCATCTCCCATCGCCCCACCTTCGTCGCCGAAACACATTGCGGGATCGATGTCCAGTTGGGTGGCAAACTCCTTTGCGGCATCGGCGGARCCTATTCCGACGAAAAAGAGCTTGACGTTTTTGTTTGCTGGGAGAACTCTGTCACGCAGTTGCGACGCATGTTCCCAGCACAGAAATCAGCCGTAGTGGCGCAGAAATGCGCACACCGCCGTCTCGTCTGCGATCCCGAACGGGGTGTTGGACCGCCACAGCGACGGCAGGACCACGGCCTGCCCGTCGGAAGCGCGGGAAAGCGTTGTGCTCGTCAGGTCTTCGAACAAAGTGGCACTTGATTTTCCTACAGTTGCAGCCGGCGCACTGAAGGCCGCGGCTGCAGAAATTAGGCCGGTGAAGATAAACAATCTCATCTGTGTAACGGCAATAGACGCTTCGTTTTCAGGTCGATGCTTAAGCTACTGGAACCTACTCTTTGTACAAAAGAGGCAARGAAACTTAATCTTTGAGTTTCCGCGTCCAAATACGTTCGTCTCTTTTCTGCTAGGGATTGATTGCGATGATACCAATAATGTTTTTTTCCACCTTCTAGCGGACGAGTTTTCTAGAAGGGACCGACCGTTGCAACTGCGTACGAGTACGTACAAGTACGTACGAGCACTAGTAGAAGTTCGATATTTTATGTGGGAAGAAAACGTGAGTCAGATTTTTGGATTTTTCTTCGCCGCCGTACCGAATGCCTGCTAGCTGAAACTACAAGTGCTACTCTTACTCGTACTAGTTGAAAGTATCGTATCCATTTAATAGTATCGTATCCATTTAATCCCCTTGATCTTCAGCTGCGGATTGATGGCCTATCTTTCAGGGCAAGAACACAAACTACTGACAACGAACCTACCAATATGCTGTATTACATAATCATACCTRTGCGTACTATCCCTCTGATCAAAACAAAATAGATGGTCATCAATGTGATTGTGGCATGGTCAACAGTCACTGGCTCACAAGTGTTGGTAGTATGATGATTTTGAGCAAATTGGCCTCGTCCATTTTCGCATCGCCACAACCTACCTTGTATAGCATTGTATTGAATGCCTTGCTCGACAGCATGAAGGACATATGTAGTTGTGAAAATGCGACAAAAACATGCCACAATACTGTTGGACTAGATACTATGAATTTTTGTTATCTACCTCATGGTTTTTTGAAATGCCACCAATTGATCGAGATTCTCCTGGCCCATGGTGGCCGCCAGCTGCGACATAAGGTCTGCTTGGTCTTTGGCTGTGGCGTCTGCCCTTAATTTTGCTGTTGAAACCTGGTACAGCATTTTCAGGTACGTGTATTTCTCTTCGTTCGTCTTGGCCAAATCCTTTACCACTCGTCGAAAGACTCCGACCGCTCGATCCCATTGTTCGCGCCTTGCCAGGGCATTTCCAAGATTGTGCATGGCGGGCAAACTGGACGGCTCTGCCTCGAGGGATTTGGCATAGTACAATAGTTCTTCACCCTCGCCGGCGTGCATAATTCCAAGATTGCAATAGGCTTGGGAAAGAACCGGATTGGCGACACCGGGTGCCTCGATGATTTTCTGGAGCGTTTCTTTTTCCTTCTCTACGTCTTTCAGTTGTGCGTAGCAATGCGACAAGGTTCCGAGGGCATCTCCGTCGTTGGGGTCGATTTCTAGGCAATTTTTCATGTAGCGCATTGCCTCCTTGTAGTCTCCTTCTTTGTACTTGAAAGTGCCCAAATAATAAGAAGACGCTGTGGACTTTGGATTAGCGAGGCGCAAGCAGTCTTCCATAACTTGCTTGGCCTTCTCCGGTGTACCGTCGTTCTCGTAGATTTGTGCCAGGGGTGTGTAGGGTCCCTCGAATTCGGGATTGAGAGCAATCGCGCACTCCAGTGCCTCCCTGGTTGTTTTGGCCGACGTTCTCTGTGGACAATTGTTGACTAGCTGACGAACGTGCTCGACGCGTTTTTTGTTCATGCAAAATCCACCAATGATGTATCTCGTTCCGCTCTTAAGCGGATTTCCACAGTGACGGACTCCTCCCGGTCGGATTGTACAGTGGCCCATATCCATCTCGATTGTTTCTCCCATGTCTGGATCTTCGTCGGAAGTCAGTCCTTCTACCCACGTGCCGCCTCCCTCGTACTCGGATTTCGGGTTSAGGGCAAAAGTAAACGACAAACATCCTCCGTCCGTGTGGATTTCGGTTCGGAGACCCGGTTCCGGTTTGTATTTGAACAAGTAGGCGCTATCGACCACCAAATCTTCGATGTCGTCTACAAAATCGGGAAATTGTTTTTTCAAAAGAGGGAACATGCGACTTCGGCACTTCTCGACAAACCATTTCTTGACATCCGGTACGTCCTTGATCCAGAATCCCTGGATGTAATATTGACCAGATGGCATCTTTGCCATTTCGTCCTTGGAATCAAAATACGCATCCGCCATTCCAACGACATCGTTGCATTCCTCCTTGGAGAACAAGGGTGTCTCGCTGTTCGTCACAAATACGGGCGATTCTCCTAATTCGTCGTGAAAGTCGGGCAATCTACCGGGTGCTTTGATCCTGTATTCGTTGAGCTTTAGATTCTCTCTGAGCTCGGTTTCTTTTGCTTGCTCTTCTTCCGTCAGGGTCGTGGGTTGGTCGACTTCGTAGGTTTGGAGAGCGGTCCGAATGGCCTCGTTGTGGCGTTCTGTCGCGACGCCCATGTATTCTTGTAGTTTGACCTTGTCGACGTGGGACAACCAGTCGGGTCGCTTCACTGCAGAGGCCAGCGAAATGGCCCCCGTGGTGATCAAGAATGCCCGGAAGCAGAAGGCAACCATGATGTTGTTGTTGGCAGTGGGAGCTTTTGTCGTCGGAATCGTCGGAATCGTCGGATTACCGTCAGATGTAGTATTGCCGTAGATGGGAATGCAATGCGTACCGTGAGAAAGTACCGGGTGCACTCGTATGTTCAAAGGGGAACGCAAGGGCAACCAAAGTTTGAGATGCAACGAGCTTGTAGAACAACTCGTCAAGGACATCACAAAACCTAACAAAACTTCAACTTCCACTAGTATCTTTCGTAGGAGACCAGAATCGTGACTGAGTTGACTAGCTCGATCATCATCGTCCGAAAAACTTTTCACCATGGTTTACGGGAACCCCAACCCAATGGCACGAATTTTTGCAAATGGCTCAACTAGTCAACAACGTGTCGAAGTTTTCATGAGGTACGTAGTTCGAGCACGCGCCATACGCACCATACCGTATGATATGTACGCATCGTACCTGTTCTCGTCGAAGGAACGGATATGATTTTGCCATAGCTGGAAACTGGATGGTGATGGGGTGTATGTATGGCGTTCGTCGGATCATCCTCACGGTGGGGTGAAAGCAATCACATTCATACTAGCTTTGCGAATCCTCCCATTCGATCACTATTTCTGAAATCGAGCCTTTCAGTCGCAACGGAGGAGTGTTGCAAAGCAGAAAACCCGGTGCAATCTGTCAAACGTTCGAGAGCACGACTATTAAGGCACCTCTGCTCGGTGATTTGGAAAGAAATCCACGATGTATCCGATTTCGGTAATCTTGACCCTGGTTGGGATGATCACAGCCGGGGCAGCGAGAATCGTTGTCGTGAAGATATATTACCAGATCGAACTCGAGGAGTCACGACCCGTCACGCCCCTCTTTGTCACCCTGTTGTATTTGGTGGGACAGGCCCTGTCACTGCTGGTTCATTTCGTCTGCGTCCGATTCGATTACAGCAAACGCGAGAGGAGCGACAACGGAATCGGGTACGATACGATCGAAATGGCTGCCATGAAACTAGATGACGACGACGACAACAACAACGAACCATTTGTGGCCGCTGTCCCTCCGAAAGCAATCGAGGACGAGGAGCAAGCCGATCGGCCTGCCGGCACGGACGCCACGGAAGAGACCGACACCGAGTGCGGGAGCGGGGACGGATCCGACGACGAAACCGATGTACCAGGAGACGAGGAGGGGTCGGAGTGCGAGCGCGCCGAAACCGGATCGGATCCGAGGTGCGGCGGCTCTCCCCTGCACGCAGGGGGGCCGGTCCGTGTCGATCCGGGAGACGGGCTGCTGTTGGAGGGCAACAGCGACGGACGGCGTGGGCACGGCAAGGAAAGGCCACCACCGCGCGGAAGGATGAGGCGGCGTGGTTCGAAGACCGGCCTGACCTCCGATTCGAGGGAGGCCGTCGCCTGGATCCACCGCATACCGTGGTACCTCAAGCCGGGGATTCCCGGCTTCTTCAACCTCTGCAACAGCGCCCTGCGGTGGGCGTGCCTGGTGTACGTCGCGGCGTCGACGGCGGAGATCCTCATCTCGGGCCTCGAGCTGGTCCTGAGTTCGTTCGCCGCGCGGGTCCTGCGAAAGAGAATCATTTCCAGAAGGCGCTGGATCGGGGTGTCCGTCGTCACGGCGGGGATCGTGCTGGTGGGCTTTGCCAAGCTGGAGGAAACCAGGGACAGCGATTCCGAGACGCACAACTTTCTGGTCGGGAATCTGCTCATTGTCGGCCAGTGCGTTTTTTCGGTCCTCCAGGACCTCTCCGAGGAAGTCTTTATGCAGGAGGCCAACTTCCCGGCGACCCTGTTGCTGGGAATGGAGGGTTTGTTCGGCCTCGTGTTTGGCCTGCCCATCTATGCATTGTTCTTTGACGAGGAGATCTCCTTTACGAGGTTCAACATCGAGTACCAGATCGGACTCGTCGTCCTGGTGTTGTTGACGGGGATCCTGAACATACGCACGACCGAGGCCACGTCCTCGATGACTCGCAACGTGTGGAAGCAATTCCGAATCATGCTGGTGTGGATCCTCGGGCTTTTGGTATACTACCTTGGGAGTGGGGGGAGACTCGGTGAAGCGTGGGTGTTCCCCGACTCTCTCTTTGTGCTCGGCGGTTTTGGTGTCATTCTTACCGGGGTATTCTTTTACTACTCGGGATAATACAGTAGCTACTAGTAATACACGGCGTCGTATGCACCATCCTTATGTCTGTTTCAGTGGCAGCCACTGAGTTTGCGAGCACTTTTATCGTCTGCTCTTGTTGTTTATGTGCTGCACTTCCTCCTTTACCATGAGATAGTATTCAATGAGACGACATGATCGTACGAGTACAACAAGTAGTGGTGCCACTAGTAGTAATACTATCATTGATCCTGATACTTCAAGGCTTGATGCACTTCCATCCCACCTCCGTGTGACTATCTGAATAGAACAGCTAGAAATAGTAGTAGTACTATTCACTATTCGTAATGTTCAGTGGATCCCAAGACCGTCAACGCCTTTTCGTTTGATTTCGAGCTGTTGTGAGCAAATCGTTCTCTCCAAAAAGTGATCGTAACAAATTCCCCCAAATTCCCGTATCCATTCCCCCCCGCTTCCTTCAGGAACGTATGGTATGGTACATGGTACAGGAGTGGACGTACATATGAACTACGAACCGTACTAATCATATCGTGGCTGTCGAGAACTGGTACATTACACTCGTAGGAAGCGTACAGTATGGTATTAGTACGGGTACGAGTACCGGATGCAAAACGACCCCTCTTTCCCGACCTCCGTCTCGGCAATCAACAAGCTGCACCACAATTCCAGTGTCAAGGCATCGCATCGCATCGCATCTCAATCCGGTACCGTAGTACCATAGCGAACCAGCGAACGGCACGGCACAGCACCACATGAAACCGAAGCAGCAACAATGGCAACAGCCCTAGCTTCCGCGGGCGTCCCCGATGCCGGAAGCAGCGGGAACGGCAACGCGGCTTCGACATCGGCAGCAACGGCGGCATCCGCATCCGCATCCGCATCCGCATCGGCGGCAACCCGGCACCTTTCGAACACCACCGCGTCCCTTCCGATCGTGTACGGGAGCATCGCCTTCTACCTCGGAAAGAAGGCCGACGAGCTGCAGACCCACGAATGGACGCTCTTCCTTCGGGGTCCCAACCAGCACGAGGACCACCTCAACGGCCACGTGATTTCCAAGGTCGTCTTCCAGCTGCACCCCTCCTTTGCGCAGCCGACCCGGGAACTGACGGAGCCCCCCTACGAGGTCACCGAGCGGGGATGGGGGGAGTTCGAGGCGCAGATCCGCATCCACTGGAAGGACGCGAGCGAGCAAACGACCATCGTCAACCACACGATCAAGCTCTACCCCCAGGGAGCCCCGCCGTCCGCTTTGTCTTCCAGCAAGGAGGCCATGCAGCAAAGCACGGAGGTCCCCGTGCTGGCGGAAACCTACGACGAGGTCGTCTTTACCGATCCCACCGAATCCTTCTTTCGGTCCCTGACGCAAATCACGGCCGTCCCCCCGGGTGCCAGAGAGGACGAACCGGTGGCATCGTTCGCGCCCCGGCCCGGCGAGTCGAACGCCACCAAAAAGAACAACACCAAGGGAGACCACAAGATGTCGTCCAGGAGCAACGCGGCCGAATCCTCGGCTCCGCCCTCGTCGGCGGCGGCGTCGTGGAGGGACCACCTCAAGAYTTCCTACTCGGACCAAGACGAATTCCTGGCGCTGATCGCCGCCCAGAAATTCCTCCGCGACGAGCTGGCGGGGGTGACGCAAAAATTCCGGCTGGTCGGCGAGGAACTCGAAACGGTGGACCAGAAGCTCGCGCTCGCCCAGCAGCAGAAGCAGCGGGAGGCGGCCGCCGCGGCCGTGAGGGGGTCCGGAACCGCCGGGGGCGGCCCGGGCGAGCGAAAGCGGGCCAAGAAGTCCCGGTCGGCGGCGCCCTCGAAAAAGTCCCGGGCCGGGGGCACGGCCAAGGGCGCGGGGGGCACCGGGGCCAAGCGGGGAACGACCCAGGGCGGGGCCGCCCGGGCCGGCGGCGCCTCCAAGGCCGCCCCGAGGTCGGCCTCCAAGCCGGCCCAGGCGGGAGAGGCACCGGGCGGTGCTTCCGGGGCCCGGGGCAAGAAGGGGACGGCCCCCAAGGGCGGTGCCGGCGGCCAGGCCTCGGCGGGAACCAAAAAGTAAKGGGATCGGTGGACGGCGCCAAACCCGCACGCACTCCGTGAAGAACGTGCCGGCCTTCTCTTCTCTGCGGTGTCTCCGGGACGGGCACGGGGTGCCATGGTCGTTTTACGCCACGGCTGGTTCGAACCGACGACCCACCGAACGCCKTGCCGTGCCGTTGCACACCGATGATTCGTTCACAAAAGACTGACTCGATTCCGGGCCTCCCTTTCCCGGCAACCTACGAGCGAAACACCCATCCCACGCCGGCAAAAACGCAAACCCTTGGATACGTACACGGTAACGATCGATGGCTGATTCCATCCGTCTACAAACTAGACCTACTATGACAGTAAATTAAAATAAAATGAATCACACCCCCTCTCGTGCCTGTCTCACTCGCTGCGAAACCAAATCACGGAAACCACGCCATGCGCTTGAAATAGGCATCCAGGTCCGCCTCGAAACTCGTCGATCGGATGCTCTCGCTCGAGTTGGGCCGGTACATCGGCGATCGAATCACCGAGGTCACCCAGATGGTCTCGTAGATGTGTTTCAGCGAGGACCGAACGTCCGCCGTCACCGCCGGATTGGTGCTCGAGGGGCCACCGCCGCCGGCGCCGCTTCCGCCGCCCCCCGGGTCGCTGGAGGTGGCGGAGTTGGCAAACCCGGTGGCCGTGGGGGCCGTCAGGATCGGACCGCTGCTTCCGCCGTGGACGCTGGACTGGGGGGTGCCTGCGGCACCGCCGCTCCCGCCCTTGGCCGCGATCTTCGTGTCGGGCGTCGTGTACAGGACGAACCGCAGCCCCGAGACCGTCTCGTAGTTGTAGAGCGTCGATGCGCCGGTCTTGACCATGTGCAGGTCCCCGGGTCCCTCCGCCGGGCTGAGACTGCTCGACAGCTCCCGGAGACTGAACAGCATGCCAAAGACCAGCTTGCGCTGTTCGGAGAGCTGCTCTTTTTCCGCGAGGAGGTCTTCCTCGGATTTTTTCCCGCCCGGTGTCTTCGCGTAGCGCTTGGTAAAGAGGGTCTTGCCCTTTCGATCGAAAATATGGAAGGAATGCACCGTCATTGGTCGGTGGATTGTTCGACGCGACGAGCCGTATACTATTCGGTGGCGATGACTGTAAAGGATCCAAGCTGTCTCTGGTGTCCGATATACCTATCTATCTATCTATCTCTTTCAAGCAATACTGCAGTACTATTTCTGTCTCTACGGCTAGGGGTTGATGGTTTGGATGAAACGCAACTCGAAGATAAMTACCCGTTGTTATCCAACAATGCCTCTCGGGTGTTGCCCATCTAAAATATTTTGCCTCATGTTCTTCGTACCATACTAGCGCACAAGAATCCCCAGTCGTAGAAGCCGATCAGGCACCATACTACTACAAGGCCCGTTTGAACTCTACTAGTAGTAGTACTAACAAATGTACCACTAAGAAACACGAAGAAACTGGCTGTGCCTAGTAAAATCAAAAAATTGCATCTTCACTATGGTGAGCATTTGCATCCCAAAGTTGGCAATCATTCATTTCCTGAACCTGAACCTAAACCCAAGGATCCAACCAACATGATGCCAAGTTCTTGTATGGTTGGTGCTCCAAATGCTATGGTGCTGGCCCAATTGATTCTTGATACGAACAAGAAGTTTGTTTTWCACAGTAAAAAGATGGCCTAAAATCAACATACACCAGTAGAAAAGCATGTAAAAAATTAAGAGAGGGGCAACTTATGCTAAGAGCTATAACTTGGTCCCTAACAGATGCTTGTTAAGTATGATATAGTACACATGAATTGAATCCCAGTAAAAAGACAAATTTAGTCATGCTGTGGGAGGTTATAGGGGGGTATTGACTGTTGAAGAAAGGTATGCAGGTACTATGTATATCTAAATTTAAAAATGCACAAATGGTTTGGCCAGAAAGGCGTGCTGGGTGAGCCTATATGATTAAAAAAAAAAATCTTAATATTATTTTTAACCTYGTGAGCTAGAAGAGGCACTATATGGCCAGAACCACAGCTTTTGTTAGAAAGAATGCTCCTAGCTGCTCCAAGGGGCGGCACTTCCCTCTGAGGAGTGTTAGTGGAAGTGCGACCAGGGGTTTGTTTCACTGGAATTAAAAGTATTGACTGAGCTTGGTTTGAAGTAAACTGGAAGAATTGACAGGAGGAGCCAAAGAAGTCTCTGGCACAACAGTTTGTTTGTGTCGCTTCTTTTTGGAGTAGGCGTCAAAGACCAGTGAATCTTGTGTGACGCTCTCCGGTGGTTGCTTACTATGTGGCAATGATGTAAAGTACTGGGTGGGTGAGCCTATATGATAGCAGGGGTAAGATGTTGTGAAATATACATGATTCCATAATAGSTAAGGTGGTGTAAATTAAAGCAATAAGAAATATTTGTTTTGAATATATTGAATAAAAGCACCAAGCACACAAATGATTGCAAGCTTTGGCAAAAATAAAATCAATAAGAAAAATACAGTTTCTATTATATGCTATAATAACAATGCATGTTGGAGTATTTTTAGGCGCTGGTTGAACGTGAATAWTTCAAAATGTATGGAAGACTGTGTACTAGAAACAGTATGGAACAACACAAGCTAATGTGTACAAGTACTTCTTGTAGTCACTCTAACCCCCTTGCTGGTGTTTCCATAATGCAGCAGTCAGCAGTATGAAGGACCAAATTAGTAAAGATATGAATCAGTAATGAATAAGATAAATTCAATGTAGTGGTGAGTTCTTCCTACTATGAAGGGATGAGTAATTCCTACAGATRGAGGAGACATCTCGTCTATGGGAATGAGGATAGTTCCTCTGGGCATGAATTGCCTCTACTTAATTCCACTGATCAGTCCCAATATGAAGTCTTGCCAAGGTGGCATACATCAAGTCCGTGGTTTTCTGAGTGGTATAATTGCTTGTACCAGACCTCCTAGTACGTACCTCCTCTGCAGGGGGCTGGCGCTGGTGCTTGATGCTKCTGTTGTGTTCCATCTTGCAGATCCTCAGAGTTGTGGAATCAATGTTGGGGAATTGACAAAACAATCTTGCAGATCCCCAAAGTTGCTGAATCAATGTTGGGGAATTGACGTTGTTTTTTGTTTGTGTCTGGAATCAAGAATGCCTTAAAACGACAAGCAATTTTACTACATTCCAAGCAGTTCCTTGTCACTCCTCCCTTTGGAATRGGGTTCTCAGGGTTCTCAACTTTAATTCCTGTTGACATAACAACTCCATTAGGGGTTCTTTGTTCATTGTCTTTGTGGTTGTCCTTTTAGCGAGGATGCTAGCTACTACTACTAAGAAGTACTTCTAGTAGATAAGACAATTCCTATTACTAGTAGTAGTGCTTGGGGGAGGTATGTTGTGAACGACCACTTGTACGTGTTTGTTGTCTGGCATTTTTGATTTGTTCTTGTGTCCTTGCTGGCATCATGTGTTTTCAATGGGTCATTCYTGTTAGTCTAGATGGTCTAAAAGTCTAAATGGTCTAGTTTAGACTTTTTAGTTTAACGGGAATCATTAAAAACAAGGTCCCAAMAGACAGTTTTTTGAGTCTTAAAGGAATTTGGAATCACGCCAATGGCAATGACAAAGACTGGAAAAGCGCGCCAGTRCTTCTTTGGGTACTAAGTAAAATACAAAACTTTTAACACCGAAAACACTACAAATACTACGTGAAAAAATAAAAAATCACAACCTTGCTCACAAATTTGAGCTGTTCCCTAAACAGAAGACAAGAGTTGCCTCCCAGCAAACAAAAGAGACACAATGGGTGTAATTGAGACCCTTTGCATATACTGGGCAATCAACCATAGAGGACGCTTGAAGGATGAATGGGATGGAAAACAGAAGTCCAAAAAGGAGAGACACAGAAGGGACAGAAGAACACCCTGAATAGCCATCCGTAGATATGCTGAATCCCCMTTTGTCTTCCTCTTTGAGTCAGGGGACGACCAAGCACTCCTCAACTGCTGTGGTGTAGACCACAACAAGGTCTGAGGGATCTTCTAGAGCTGTTTGGTCCAGCTTTCAAAAGGTACTACTCAGTGAACAAGAACAATGAGATTGTTCTTCTTCCTTCCCCCACTAGGAGTGGAAAGAAGATGGGAAAGCCAAGAGAGGCAGATGCTACTTGTTGTCTTGGGCTAGTGCTCTTCTGGTACAGGACCAGAGGATCAGTTGCAAGGGGTATGGCAATGGCGTTTGGTCTTGCATCGACAGTCATGTACAAATGGATCAAGTTCTCCATGAGGATCCTCCTATCAGTGCTTCATAAGCATCCACTTGCCATGGTCAGTCTGCCAAGTGAGCAAGAAATCAATGAGTATATTAGAGCAATTGGAGCAAAATATCCAAGACTTGGGGAACAACGCGTCTGGGCAGCAGCAGATGGGCTCAAGGTGGAGATCCAGTCTTCAGAAGACTGGCTCAGACAGGTTCTCTTCTTCAATGGATGGAAGGCAGATACTTATGTGAATGGRGTGTTTGTCTTTTCACCAGATGGTAGGATCTGCATAGGGACCTTCGATTGCCCAGGCACGTGGCACGACAGCACCATCAGTGACTATGGAATCTATGACAAGATGGAGAAGTTGGACGAGCAAGGAAGGCCCTTCATCATTCAAAGTTCCCAGACAGATCCAGAGGATGAAGAAAAGCTCCTAATAAATAGGGACAGCACCTCCAGCAGTTGGTCCTCTCTTTGTTTTGATCAAAGATAAAGAAGAGCAGCACCAGTGACTAAGATAGGGGACATTGTTGTTTGTCTTTTTGTTACTACTACTAGTATGGTGCCAGCGCTTCTGGAACAAGAGAAGGTTTAGGAGTTACGTAGTAAAAATGTAGTGAAGTCTTAAATTTGGCGGGTCTTTTCAGTTGAGTCCTACAACAGAATTTGATTCTTGGATTCCRGTCTAGATTTAGACTTTTTGTAAGGCCGGGAGTGGAGCGTTGACAGAAAGTCTAAAAATTGAGACTACTAGTAGTAGATGGTCTATTTTTTGTCTGTCTGTCTTCCAAAAAGTAGACCATCTAGACTACCGGGAATGACCCAATATTTGTCAAGAATGCAGTTATTTTCTGTTAATTTCAAGCAGAATTCAATGTTCCAAAATTAAGCACCACATGTAGTGCACCACAATTAAATATCTATGATTCGATGTATTTAAATAAGTCAATCCCGTACCGGTACAAAAAGTATGTTTACGGGAATGACCCATTTATTGATCGCATCTTTAACTTCACAATAGGAATGCGGAGTTAAATCAATGTTCCAATTCCCCGAATTATTTTTTTCGACTCATGATTTGTTTTTTTTWATCTTAATCCCCCAAAACGAGACGTATGTGCCGCCTTTGGTCGCAAATGGCATCATTATTTAAGATTCCATTATTTCCTAGTCATACCGTACGTCT